TCCCTACGACAGGGCAGCCCCATGCCTTTGATGGGTACGGGCTTGTGAGAAGAGGACATCATGGTTTTACTTGCGAATGTACGAACAAGAGGGGCTCTATTTCCTTAGCATCGAGGCCAGACCAAACAAGTTTAACATCCAATTGAAACTCAGATGAGCATAACATATAATCTGGGACTCCGAATGAGCCTGAAGACTTGGTAATCCGTGGAACTGCCCTTTGCAAGCCTAGGCCCGGGTCACATGCATTCAAGCCCTGTTCGTATTTGACTGACCGAACACTGTGCACGTATCAGCAGCAGCTTTGATTCACGCGCGACGAGCTGGCAGGTGTTGAAACTAACGGCTCAGCTATGCCTTCAATTATTGTTGCCCAACATGCAACTCCGAGAAATGGAAACCTCTAGCTCAAACACAAACTGCCGAGCGTCCAAAGAGACATCTTGTATGCGCACGGCGGACCGGTGCCGTTTAAGTCAGTCAAATTGTACAGTTGGATGGGCAAGCAGCCGAATGACTTTACAATGGGCTGCAGCTTTCAACACAGTTGTTCATACGCTTGCACGGCTCTCACTATCTATAGACCGGGGGGAGTTCCCCACGTGGTGAGGATGTTGTTTGCGGTTGGTGAGCTCAAGTGATCTAGCAGGTTTTCGAAAGGCCCCTTTCCGGTGGAGATGCCCTGAACGAAGTACCCAAGCACAGCGAGCATCCTGCAGATGCAAGTTCAATTGCTTCAGTTGAAACCTCCCAAACTCTTCCCACCAGAGATTTGTCCGTGACAATCTGCAGTCAGTGCGCAGGTCACTGTGCGCAGTCGGTGCGCAGGTCCACCACAAAAGCGAACGATTGCTAACATGAGCGAGCACAAAGCATGTGAGATAAGCGAACTGCCAAAACTATCAGTTGACTTACGCCAGCCTGCCGTTCTCCAGCTCCTTGTCCCTCAGATCCTTCTTTGACTTCTCATCCTTTCCAAACCCAGCAAAGTTGAAGAAAGGGCCTCCGGGGTAGGCAGGCTCGCCGGAGCCGCCAAGAAACTTCTCCATACCCAGGAAGAAGACCTTGCCCTGGCTGCCGGGCTTCCTGTAGTCAGCCAGCCTGGGAGGGACCGCGAAACGAGTCAATGGGAGCTAAGAATGCCCAGACCTGGTACATTACAGCAAACAGGAGGTGGAGGGTGATTGAGAAATAGAGCCTGGAGAGTGTCGGATACTCCAGGTCATCTACATATCGCATTGCAAAGACGCAAAAAGCACCATGTTTTCCTCGTATCTCACCTCTTGTGCTCAGCGAAGGCCATAAGGACCAACTCAAGACCGAACAGGGTGTACGAGTCTGCCCAGTAGCTGTAGTCACCAGCAGGGGGGAAGACACCCTGGATACAAACAGACATTGGACCATGTCAGGGTCCAGCAGCCAAGCCTCGCGACCTCAAGGACTTAATTTGTGCAGAAATTCAGCTCCACCTCCTAAGTACTATGTCATTGAATATATGTGTACTTCACAGTTTTCACTGTCTCGAAGAACAGACTTACCGACTTGAACCACGGGAGAGCAGTCTTGGCCGGGATTAGGCCCATCTTGCCCAAAACCTCCGGTGCGATCATGCCAGCGGCGCCGAGCATGGCAAACCTGTATCATCACTTGTCAGATAAGGGCGAACACCGCTGCTCAGCAACTCCTTGACAGGTGCTGCAAAAAGGCACTCTTGGCATCCGGCACATAAAACTTGGATGCCCGTTATAGAACAAATAAACCCTTCCACAAAAAGTTTTATTAAATCTGCACACCACAGTATCCTCGCACCATTGCTGATGGAAGCATCCATCATCCCGCACTTTACTGGATCCCTTACCTGCCGTTGATGATCTCTGCAACACAAAAAGCCAAGGAGATCAGTTCCTGTACAACTGGCGTACTGCCATGAAGGCTGCACTAGTCCCTAAAAGGTCTTCATTCTCAGCAGAAGACAAACTATTCTAGGGCTCAGATGCCGGTTCTTTCCAACCACAGCAACATTGTCTCTGTCTTCCTCGAGCATCTTCTCCACATAAAGAGCTTTCGGCGTCAACTGTGAGGGGCAAATGTCTACACCAAGCCGATCAAAGGCGGTGTGGGATACCATGTTGAACATATGTAAGAATGCAGATCGATCTGATGAGAGTGGCCCTGCTTCTCACCGGCATAGGGAAGCCATTCAGAGTTGAGGAAACCGCCGTCGCCCTCAGGGTCAAGGAGGCCCAGAGGGTCAAATCCTGAAGCAACAGAGAGTTCTCATTAGCATCAGAGCAGATACCATGAATTGAGCTTATTCAAGGCAGGCACATTGACATTAGGAGTTGGGACAAGAAGCAATGGCAGCTGGCAAAGCTTACAGCGTACCTTTGTCACCGGGAAGAGTCCCGTCAAGGTAAGCCAGAGACTGCTTGGAGGGGAAGAAGAGGCCCTTGGTGTCCCTCTCAACCTGCCACACAGACAGGCAAAGTGAGAAACTGTCCTGTCGGCGTGGACCAGAGGACATCTTTGCATCATGCCTTTTCATACCATTGCTCTTTGCTTTGACAAGAGTATTTGCTTAGGTTCATCCTGCCTGGCCGCTGCCCCATGAGTTGGCCCCATCGCCTGATTCTGCTGCCTTCCACGCTCATTGTCTGTTTGCTGAGCACCAGCATGCCCCATTGTAGACCGGCAATGCTGCTGAACCAGACCCCAATGCCCAGTATCAATGTGCACAGACGCGCTATTGCAGACCGATAAAGGCTTGATTTAGAGCCCTTGCACTGAGTTCCCACCTTGGCAGGCTTGTCCGCCGTGGCCCTAACCACTACGCTCTTCCTTGCGCATGATCCAAGCTGCGGGATCGCTGGGAGAGCGGTTCCCTTGAAGCTGCTGCTCGCTGCGCCGGACCGGGCCGCAGCCACGGACAACTGCACGGTAGCCCGAGAAGCGACAGCAGCAGATTGAGCCATGGCGCCTGTAGAATCTTCCCTGAAATCGCTCTTGCAGGTGATACAATTCCTTGTTTTGCAGCAATGCAAGCTCAATCCGTGCTTCCAACGCGCAATGCAGCAAAGAGAACGGAACGTCGTCTTCCTCGCCAAGCAAGGGGAAATCTTGGTGAGGGGGGCAAAAACAATATTTCAAGCGAACCCCCCATTAGGCCCAGTTTTTGGATATGGGTGGAGTCAGGGAGCCAATCGCAAGGGTCCTTCCACGAAAGAATCCCAGGTGGAGGCAGGAACAGATCGTGACCGTGCATTGTTGAGCTTGATCCACTTGCAGCAACCCCCTCGAAAACCCCCTCGCACCTTCAAGCAAGACTCAGTACGCGGACCTACCGTATTCGATCTGTGTTTCTTCAAGCGGGCGTCAGCGCGCGTGCGGAACAGAGTGGCGGCCGCCGGGCCGACCGCGGGCATCCTGAGCAGGCCGGCCATGCGCATCACCACTGGGCTCCAGGTGGGCTCCAGGTCCGGCTCGGGTCCGGCTCCAAGGCCAGGGTAGTGCTTATAATGTATAATATACTAGCTGGCTGGCATAGATTCACGAACTCAATCAACATCATTTGTGTGCCATCCTTGTGCCATAAGAACATGGCACACAAATGGCCTATCTGGCTATGGCGTATGGTATTTGAAAAGAGACCATCACCGACATACTCGACATGTGCATTCAGTTTGACATGAAGAGAAACAAGACATTCCATTCCGAATCCGTTACCCGTCAGGCTCAACGTCGAGCCGGAGCCTGCGGCGCTTTCGCGTCGAGGCAGATTGCCACTGTCTTGAGAACTCATCAGCAGATCGTCGGAAAGAAAGTACCAAGAGAGTATTCATGCACCCCTTGCAGGTCCGGCCCAACTTTAGTCCAAACCCGCAGCATTAGAACAATTGAACCTCTCAGAGAATCGATTGGGACATGATCGAAAGAGTGAGATCGGCAGACACACCTTGAGTCCCTCTAAGTGCTAAACTCCCAATGGCTCGAATGACCAAAAATGTTCTGTTGGCCGTACGGTACCCAGTAAGGCCTAGGCCGCTCCCATTCTAGGGCCAGACGTGCGCGTCATTTCTGAGGATCGTTAATCACGAGTCAGCCTCAGTTTTACCCGGGACGCCACATGGTGGAGTGCAGCCTGAGGCTTCGCATTGTTTGCTCAGGTCATGCCGGGTGAGGGCCAGAGCGTGCGAGTAAATGGACATACGATGCTAGTGCGGCAATTCTTTACATGAAACGCCATGCGGATTTATCAAAAGAATCCAACAGGTCTCAATGAACTCAACGGTTTCCTGGAATCGGCAGGCCAAACACTAATGATTCTTGGACCCGTGTTATTGCAGTAAACATGTGTGGAACATGCTGTTCATTCGGATATTTACACCTCAAGACCATCTCACATGCTTTGTATATAAAGAGCATGGAAAGCTGGGTAATCCATGTCGTACGGTTGCACAGCTCGTGCATGAGCAAGAAGGGTCCCTGCCCACCATCGAGCAGCGCCTTGAGGTATACAAGACGGTCAAGTCGCCTCTACCCAGCAAGACATCGTACGAAGAAGAACACGACTCTTGAAAGTCCTGAAATAACGAAAACAGGGACATAAACTGTATGAAGCTCCACCTTGTGAGGTTGGAAAGCCTTCTCTTACTTAGTGCCCAACTCTTTAACGGTTCGGTTGTGGTTCACATTAAACAGACCGTCCCCTCGACGGATATGGGCGTGCCCAACTCCACTTTTGTCGCTTGTCCTTCCGATGCAAGACAGTGCAACTGATTCGCGTCCTTGGCCTTCATCCCGTGTCCCGTGAAGGTCTGCATTGGTACAAGTGCACTGATCAGATCCCGTTCCCGGTCGAGTCAAGCAAGGCGCCACCCTCAATTCTGCGTCAGGTGCCTCAAAGGGAACGCACCCAGCTACGGTCTGCCTTGTCCCCACAGACAGCAGCCGAACGCCTTCGCGAGAGTGTCAAGTGAACACAGGCTTGCTGAGTCATGGCCGGTGCCTCACCGTGATGTGCCAGAACGCATTTTGGCTGGCTACCCCTCGCTCCTTGAGCTCCTGCTCCCAGTCCGCCTCCCAAGCCGCCAGCTTGTCGCTGAAGTAGAACGCCGTGAGCCGCACGTCCACCTTCGTCCCGACTAGCCGCCCGAAGCCCGCCACTGCGGCGCTGCCGTGAGTCGCCTTGTGCGCCAGGGTCACGTGAGCGGGGCGGTTCTCCAGGGTCTTGCCCGCTAAGAAGGACGCCACCGCAGGCTGCTCCTGGGCCAGCTGCGCGTCGCAAAAACAAGTAGGGAGGCAGTCAGAGGTGAGGATCACACACGTAGCCCCGATCTATAACTCTGCACAAAGGAAAGGCACGCAAATCTTTTCAGAGCGTTGCAAATCTTGAGAGCGCTGCCCCCCCCAAGCTGAACACCATTTCCATCTTTCATTCGATCCCTGGGTAAATCCCTAGAACTGCTGGTGCCCACCTTTTCGGTCGCCTCAACGATTTGTTCCCGCGGCACCTTGACCGCTGCAAATGTGACGGCCCGCGTCTTGTTGCTGGCAGTCACCCGCTCGGACCGCCCGGTGGGCTCCGGGGGGGTGTAGTGGCCGGCGAGGACGGACGTCAGCTGCGACTCCACTGCCGACACTGCCTCCGCAAACGGAACCTGCAGGCGCAAAGAACGGAAGATGAGCCACAAGGCACACTCTGTTGGCAACCTTATCATTCGCACAACAGCACTTTGCGATCATGCGCCGGAAGTGACCGTCTAAGATGGCTCAACGTGCGGGCTGAGAGAGCCTTCCCGCGCCGCTGACCTGGATCTGTTGCAGGTAGTCGGCGTGTTCCTCGAGCGCGGCGCGCAGCTTGGCCTCCCAGGCATCCCACTTGGCGCGCGGCTCGCCCTTGACGTCGGTGCTGCTCTTCCACTTGCCGAACTTGGCCGCGTGCGCCGCATAGTGCTCGAGGCCCTCCTCTAGCACCGCCTCCAGCGCGGGCGGCAGGGGGGGCCGCCCCGGGCGCAGTACGGGCATGCGGACCAGCGTGCCGAAGCGCGAGAGCAGCTCCGATTCGAACTCGGCGCGGCTGTTGCCCTCGTACAAGTTGTAGAACAGCAGCATCACGTACCTGGGCGGAATACGGCCCAGAAAGAGTTGCGATTCGGCAGTTCCTTCATAACACATCATTCACTGAAGGCTGCAGCAAGCATCCCCATGAATATGCACTCTGTGAGAAGCTCTAGGGCAAAAGGCCTCCCGCCGGAGGAAGCGAAGCAAACGGCAGGGAAACCTTGGCTTTGAACATTTCGAGTGGCCTCCTTTGCGCAGGGACCTGGGCCTTTCGCCATGCACACAGCACATGACGTACATGTTGATTGCATGCCCGTGCCCAACATCCTCTCGGTCCTAGGCTCACCCCGCGTTGGGCGAGTTCTTGTCGAGCTTCCCTGGGTGGCCCTCCCGCGCGAGCACGCGCTGCGCGAACACGGCGAGCGTGTCCAGCGCGTACGGGTTGGTGTCCGTACCGTCCGAGTCGGGCACGACGGGCACCGCGAGCGCGCCGCTCTGCGTGCACAGGTCCTCCACGGCGTCCCACACCTCGCGGTTGGGCGCGTTCTTGTCCGCCACCGCCACCACGCCCGGCGCCTTGTTCTTCTCCGTGGCGAACAGCTTCCAGTACTTGCCCTGCGTCAGGTCGCCCATCATGCTGGCCACGCGCTTGCCGCTGCTCCAGGCACGCGCAGGCACGCTCAGCTGCAGCCAGAGAGGGCGGGCGGGATTACGATCGAGCACGCATGGGGAACGGCAGGTGCGCTCTGCATGGATCCGGGCTGCCCCTCATATATGCAAGGCGGGCGAAAGAAAGTCAATGTGCAACTTCAATCATTATTACAATCCATAGGGCTTCTTCCAAACGAGCGTAGCAAGACGTCTTCGATTCGTGCGGCGTACAGTATACTGCTGCAGGAAACTCTTGCCAAACGAACAAATAACGAACAAAATTACGAAACGGTGAGTCGCCGCGGTTTAAGCCAGTGGTAGCGTGACCCGGGAAGCGCAATTGGTTGCTTACCTTGGGCCGTTCGAGGTCCGTCCCGAGGAGGTGCTTGCAGAGCGCGCTCTTGGCACAGCCGGGCATGCCGGGGAAGAAGATGATCACCTCGCGGGGGGGGACGGCTACGGACCCTGACGTCGACGCCTCGTCGTCGCCTGCAAGCACAGCAAACGTGTGAGCGGCCAGTCAGATCAGCGACATGATCAAGGACAGAATCGAGTAGCAAACCAATGCATGATGCATTAAGTCGCCAAGAAAGTCGCCCTACAATCCCTTTAAGAAAGCAGGTATCACAAGTACCTGCGGCTAAGAACGATCCACACACGGTTTGAGTCGGGACTCGGTGCAAATCCGCTTGCACGTCGATCATTTTAATGGAAACCGTTCGCCCTCACCCGCCTCCACGGCCGTCCCCGCGCGCACCACTTCGTCCTTGTGGTCCTCCAGTTCTTCCGCCAGCGCGCTGGGCACGTGCCCGTACGTCACCCCCACGGTGCTGACGTCAGCGGCGCCGACCAGCCTGCGCTCAGCCTCCCCTCTCTGCATGTACGCCGCCAGGAAGGGCTCCGCCTCGGTGAGGTACGATGAGTCGGGCAGCTTGTTTGCCGCGCCGCGCTTCTTCAAAATGTAGTCCGCCCACGCCGCCGCAAACGCCTGAATCTCTCGGGCCTTCTCGGGGGTGTGGCCCCAATTGCGGATCTGCCTGCAAAAGGTATTGACGAAGCGGGCGTAGAGTTTGCCGAGCCAATGGGCAGGTCATGGACGAACTAATGAAGTAGATGTGACTGAATACAGCTGCCAAAGTGGGCTGCCGGCGGCTGCGCTGGACGCGCACGTGAGGCGGATCAAGATTCGAAGAATCCAGCATAGCCACACATTGCCCGGCTCCAAATCGCTTACCCAGCGATCGTTCTGCTCACACGGATAACTGCAACAAGCGAAGAATTGATAATGCCCCATCTCCTTTTGACACGTTCCACATATGTTTGCTTGTTTACGAAATCCAGGTGCCTCATCGAAAGGCGAATGAAGCTGCACATCGTGCGCTACCCTCTGTCCACAATGATTCGTAACCCGTCCAGGTTTTCCGGGTGCGCTCGCTCCTTCTGAAGCTCTCCCAGATTTTCTGCGGGCTCACCTTTGGATGTAGGCCTTGTAGTCGGCCTTGCCCTTGTTGAAGAGGTTCGAGATGCCGTTGCGGATCATGAACGTGCGCAGCTTGTACGGTAAAAACTTCATCTTCAGCATCAGTGGCTCCACTGCGTCCTCCGCCACCCCCGCGCCGCCAGCGCCGGACGTGCCGGCCTGCGCCATAACGACACGGCCAGTCAACGGTGGCAACAATCGACGGCCGTCAGCGCGAGCAAGAGTATTACACGGTGATGATAGAAAGTGGACGGCTGGAAAACAATATTTACGTCGATGGCCCCAATCGAAATCGTCTCAGACGTTAATAAGGCCTACTCAAGGATCTTAGAAGACATCTGCTAGTGATCTCTGAAGCGACTGCTTGGAAGCATCAAACAGACCGCTCAGGCCTGGGCGGGGCTTGCCCCACACCTCGTCGGTTGGCGGTCCGCTGGCCGTGCTGAAAGTGGGCGGTGTATGTTGCGGCTCCCAGAGCGTGATGTCCACAAAGAAGCCCCGGTACAGCGGCCACAGGTCCGCGTGCTTCCTGCACAGCACAGCAAGCGCGTCAGGGCGGCGCGACAGGGGGCAGGGCAAAGGCGGAAGGACGCCGCCGAGCATGACGGCTCAAGGAGCCAGCCCTTCCGTCGAAAAGCTCATGTGCTGTTGCACAGCTGAAGAGGTAACGCACGAGAATCCCATTGAGAGCTGTGGGCACGGATCATGCGAGGTCCGGTTCGTGCTGCCGAAGTTTCTCACGAAGCAACGACGCCTTCCTGCTAAAGCCGACGTCTCGAACTTTAAACCTCTAGGTATGGCACTGAAGAGAACATATGACAGCATCTTGGTTTCTCCCACTGCCCCTTCCCTCAGCGGCGCGCCCACCTCATTTCGGACTGATACTTGGTGAAGACGCTGTCCTGCAGCACGTGCACTGTGAGCACGAAGCTGCCGGCCGGGGTGCCCGGGACGTCCTCCTCCAGCGGGCGGGTCTTCGCCTTGAAGCGCACGCGCATTCGGCGGCCCTGCACCACTTGGAACACTTCCTGCACACACATTACACCAGCAACCCGTCAAACCCCCGGGGGCGGCCAGCAGTGCACCTTGGAGGGAAAGGGCGCGTCTGAATGCGTTCGACGGCCCATATGCAGGACGAAACTGGAGCCTTCTGAATCACGAAGGGTACGAATGGACACCGTGAACGAATGGTTTCAGTGTTTGCCACTTCGTGGCAAGGGAGGCAACTAGCAGGGACCATGTGGCTCAGTGCCAGCGCTTCTCAGTCCTCAAACAGTATGTCGACTACACCGTGCTCCCGACCTTTCGTGACCGTCTCAACCATTGATTTGCGACCATGGAGAAGGCTCAAACGGACGACGAAAGACATAACGAACTCGCTGAGAAAAACTTCGCTTACAACACTGCGAGCTGTGTATGCGGCCCACAAGTGCGACCTGTTGACTGACAATATGCTGAAAATGAGTTCACATCGACCAAGCCTGTTTGCAATACAAAACAAGCGAATATGCATTTGGCTGGCATTTCGCCTCCGGCAATATACTGCTTGCCGCACGTCAAGCAAGGTGGTGTTTCGTTTTATCCTGAATAAGGTGGGGCGTTTGGCAGGGTGGCTAGCTTCTCTCACCTGGAGTTTTGTGGTTGTGTAGTCAGCGGGGCGGGCCGAAAGGAAGGTCTTGAAAGCGTTGGTCTCAGGCACCGTCGCGCGCGCGTCGGTGGTGTGGTCGTAAGAGGAGTCGTCCCAGTCGTGCGGGCTGGGCACCATGTGCGGCCCACACGCCGCCAGCAGGGCCTCCAACCGCTGCACCGTGCACAGAGACGGAATCAGCACGCATGCGCAGCTCAAGAACAAATTGAGAGATATTCAGCAATCTGGTTGGACCCGCAACTATTTCAAGAGTCTGAATTACAGCAGTATCGTGATTGCGTCCTTGCCGGGTTTGACCTTGTTGCGGATAGAGAATCCATGGCAGATGCAGATAAGGCAAGTCCGGGTTCGCTTTCACAGCCCTCGCATGTACCTCCCTATGTACTTCCCTATACAGCCTGGCTGGCCAGATTTCTTCAGCCTTATGCTCGCCCCACCTGCTTCTCCTTCAAGCTGGCGTCCCCGTAGATGTCCCGCAGGCTCCTGCCCTTCCCCGCCGCCGGGGGGGCGTCGGGCAGCGGGTGGTCGTGGATGACGCGGCGCAGCTGGTCCACACTGCGCGGGCTTACTAGGCGCACCACCAGCCCCTCCAGGATCTCGCCCTGCACCACGCGGTGGTCCACAGTAGCTGCAAGCACCACGCAGGCGGAATGAGATACAGCAGATATTGTAAAGGGTCTCTTGTCTGACTGCGGTCTGGACCCAGATAACCACCATGGGCTACACAATAACCCTTAAGCAGGCTCACTGTTCAGAGTTTTGTACTTTGGAGCTTTCCATTCTCAGCCTTGTCAAGCTTCCCTACAATTCATCGACCGCCTCCATCAGAATCCAAGGATGGCGAAACCCTCAACATTTTGGCAGGAGTCATGGACTCTGACTCTGACGAAACACTGCATGGCAGGGTTGGAGTAGAGGAGTTGCCAACAGAATTGGTTAAAAGGATGAGCAATTGCTGGGGGTGGCGGGTCTCTCACGTGGCACTGCAACGTCGGCAATCTTGTCCATGCTCTCCGTGACCTCGCTGGCGGTGCCCTCCTCCCCGATCATGTCAAAGATCTCAAAGTACGTGCCGGCGGACTGCGTGCTGGCAAACAGCCAGTACTGGTTGGTCGGCAGCCGCCACTGCCGGCAAAACTCCACGATCTGGGGGGTGGCCCAGAAGCGGGGTTGCACACCCCCTCCCAGCTCGGAGATGGCGGTGATGACCACGTAGTCCTGCTTGGGCCGCTGCCCGTGGTCCCCCAGCACCGCCGTCACCAGCTCCATGGCAACACACAGGTTGCGCGCCTGCACCGAGCACCGCCCACCACTCAGCCTGAGGCGGAACTTTTTGGGGCCTCCTGCTGGGTGATGTTTCTAAACCAGGACTCAGGACTTGGCTTGTCCTGGAGCTGCTGTTGTAAGACGTTGGAGTTGCAGATGCCACAATGACCAGATGATAGCAAGTGAAAACCGGTTGGAGTTGCAATGCCCCTATGATTTGTATGGTAGGAGATGAAGAATAATAATAACTTCGACTTCATGTGCGCGTCACCTGCAGCAGCTGGTTGAGCTCCTGCATCTTGGTGTCTGCCTGGGCGCCCCACGCGTCCCGCAGCGTGCGCGCCACCACAAACAGGCCCACTGCGGTGTACTCGTTGCCCCAGCTGTTCTTGGCGAAGCCGCGGCTGCCCCCCGACCACATGAACAGGCTCCCCGAGTGCTTCTGGGACACCTCCAGCACGCCCTTCCCAGCAGCCACAATGGCCAGCATGCGGTCACGCACCTGGAGGGAAACGCAGCGCTGTGAGCGCAGATGAGAGGGGGAAGGTCAAAGGAGCAGGGAACAGTCTGAGAGAAGGTAGTGTACTCAGGGGATTGAGACAGCAGGGTATGCAGCTGTAGCAGCCATCAACGGAATTGATGTCAAAGCCCACAGCATTGACGCTACCGTGATACCATCTAAGGTTACTCCTGCTTGTCTAGCACAGTCTCTACTATCTGAGAGCATCCAGAGCTTCAGGGGCTTCCCCTTCATGATCAACCCTTTCCAGCTCTGAGTGACCCAGATGCAGTAACTTAAAGCAGGCTGATGAGAACGAGAGCACCATTACATCCCATGCAATGTTTTGAGAGCCTACCGCCTGGTCTGATGACTCATTCTCAAACTTGGGGTAGAAGGCCGCCTGCAGCCTGGCCTTTCCCACTAGGCCGCCATGGGGGCCTTTGGAGCTGCTGGCACTGCTCTTGGGTGCCTCATGGGGGGTGGTACGCTTTGGCGCCTTGTCCTCCAGGCGCATGCCCGCCAGCTCCTCCTGCAGCTGCTCCTCCCCCTCCACCGCCACGCTCACCTGCTGCGACTTGCCCGCCTTGGCGCCGCCCTGCTTGCCGCTTCGGCGGGGAGCCATCCTGGCCTGGCAGAAATGCACCACCCTAAAGTCAACACTCAAAACAAAGGGAAGCTAGAACTTGGCCAATGAGTACAGTAGTCTGTAGCAAATCATAAGACTTGAGCATTCCAGAACTGCGTCACCCGGAACATGAAACAGGCAAAGGAAGAGAGTATGCAAGCAAGCAAGCCCAGCGAGAAATCATACCAAATGTGGGGGTGTTGAAGTGAACCCGGAAAGGTGCGTGAAGCGAGGAAGCTGCCTTGTGGTGATGCTTGTCTTCAAGGTGGTTGCTTTCAAAGGAGTCCTTGTAAGTGTTGCAACTGGTCCTGCAAATGGGGGCGATGAGAGAGACCAGCGGCCACCTCTGAGTTTTGAAGGGTTCAATCTGTCAAACCACCGCCAGAGTTGGCCATTGGCATTGACAAGACGAGCCTGCGATTGCATTTCCTAATGCAGTATGGTGGACCACCGAAACTCGGCAGAGGGAGAATGCCTCCACCCTGCTGCCTGGGCAGGACCACATCGTTCCACCTGTTGCGTCACGGTGAGGGCACACGCAAGTCATTTGTGAGTGTGCACTGATTGAACCTGACTGGCAAGTTGCAACGAGACGGTTGTGCCGCAGTGCGGTTGCGCTCACCTGGTTGCGTCGCGGCTACAAAGTTCGTTCCCACAGACCAAGGTTCAGGGTTTGACGATCGCCCGCCCGCGTGCATCTGCCCAGCTTTGCCACTGCTTCCGGCCGACTTCAACGAGTGACCTGCCAAAACCCTAGTTTGTTACTTCCCTTCATCTTTGATCTTTTTCTTTCATCTCTATAGGTAGGTATCTCGAATGCATTTCTTGTTCTCATTCTCATAGTACGTGCAGCAGCAAATGGTGGAATAGAAGGCAAGAGTGACTAGCTTCTCATCTGCTTGTCTTCATTTTGCACAAAAACTGCGTCCGTCTGATTGATCATTTTTCAACCGCTCAACGCGCTGGCCAGCATCCTAGTTCTGCCCCCGGACGCCGTCCAATGGCGGATGCGAAGGACATCCTGGGGCTGCGGCAAGATGGGCTGCCCAAAGGCAAGGCCAAAGTCAGCAAGGAGCCGGCGCAGCGCAAACCAGACGGGGTCAGCCGCGAGGTGGGGGCAGCAGTTCATCATGCCACCAGCAGTTCCAGCTCATGCATTGTGCCTCGTTCACGCTATCGCTGCCCAATTAAGTGCAGGATCAGACTATATCTGTGAAGGCTGAGATTGGCAAAACTTGATTGAATAGCTGAATATGTACTAAGCTTTCAAATTGCTCATCTGAAATGAATGTTGGCGTCGGCCAGGTGTTTTCTGAACATGCGCTTGCCTGTCAGCATTGGTTCCAGGCACAAGCTGGTGCTTTTCGTAATCCTTGCTGATTCTGAGTTTCCTAGGCATTGCCCTTTTGTCAATAAAGTCTAGACTACTTGAGTTTTGAAAAGCGTTGCAACCGATCTGAGCCCCCACAGCCCAGCATGCCTTTTGTGGGAACCGTAACTGGACCGGTCGCTCTGGTGCAGGTGTATGCCCTGACGGGGGGCTTGCCGCACGCCATCATGCCTGCGGTGGAGGTGGGCAAGGGCAAGAAGAAGGCGGGCAAGGCGGTGCGCTGGGGCTGGCTGCCCTTCACGCCCGCCGCCAGGAAGGACGCCCTACAGCTGCACCACTGGGTGAGCCCCATCCCACCACTGCAAGTCGGGCCTTAATGGTGGTGCTGCACATCCAGCGGCGGAGGCTGGGGCCACACAGGCACCGCTGATGGACAAGCCTGAATAAGGGGAGCCCCTTCAAGTAGTGAAGTTGGTTGAGGGGCGCGGGCCTTAAGCGGCTTGTTTCAGATTACTTGATTACTTCACGGCAGCCAATGGATGGTGAGAGAGCCCCATACTCACGCTTCCTCAGCATAGAGAGAGTCAGAGAAGTCTCTGACTGGCCCATAAACCTCTTGTATAATCCTAACAGAGAGGCCGTATAGACACAAAGCTTGACCTGATTCGGGACGCTCACTTGCGCAGGTCCCGCTGACGCCCGGCGCCCCAGCGGCCCCGTACCAGTTTGACAAGTTCAGACGCGCGCTGGAGGTGCCCGAGTACAGCGACGAGGAGTACGCGCGGTGCCTGCAGGACCCGCGCTGGAGCCGCGAGGAGACGGACCAGCTGCTCACGCTGGCGCGCCAGTACGACCTGCGCTTCATCATCATGGCGGACCGCTGGGGGCTGGACCGCCCGCGCAGCGTGGAGGAGATGAAGGAGCGCTACTACGGCGTGGCGCGGCAACTGCTGCTGGCGCGCGCGCACGACGAGGATGACGTGGCGGACCACCCGCTGGTCAAGGTCAGCCGCCGCGGCAGCGCCCTGCGATCAGAGTGACTTCGGGGATACCTCCACTACTCTGCAAATATCGGTGACCCGATTGGCCTGTGGGGAGACAGTTCGAGTACCTCCTGTCGGTACATGTAGAAGACTCGGCAGGGCCATGACCGGCCGAAGTTGCTGAGGATGACTTGATCCGTACTGGCAGCCTGTTTCTCTGTGGTAGATGACCACCGCCGATTGTTGACTGCGGCCGCCGACGCGCGCACTTTCTTTATGATCAAGCGGGCCTGGGGTCCACGTCCTGACCTCTTTGGGTCCCGTCAAACACTTGGGATCACCAGCTGACTAGGGATCCGGTAAAATTGTCAATGTAGTCTGGCTTGTCTGTTGCCTTGCGCCCTGATGCTGGCCTTGCCGTTGGATCGTGCAGGAGCCGTTCAACGTGGTGCACGAGGTGACCCGCAAGAAGGCGCTCACTCTGCTGCTGAGCCAGTCCAAGGAGCAGGAGCAGGAAGAGCACGAGGTGAGGCAGCGCAGCGCACAGCCACGGCCACCCGCCCAGTTTGCCATCAAACTCTTCGATGAAGACTACCTTAAAAAAGGGCGTCCTGGGATCCGGAACGCCTGACGTCAGCCGCGTACGGTAAACTTTGATCGAACGGCGATTTTGCCCGCGTGACGTCGATTTTGGGAACCGGTGTGAGTACGGTCTGCGCGGCGTGCGGAAAAAGGAGAAATGTTGCCTCGACCGGGTTTCGATCGCTCGCTTTGTCGGAGAGAGACGAGCGCACTTCCTATTTGTTCTGAAAACTTGTGTGCGTCCGAGTTGGATCGGAAACTCATGAGTTGGGACGGTACATTAGACTGATTCCCTCTGTAAAGGTCTCTTTATTCGTTGACAGATGTGTATACTCCAAACCCTGTCCAAACATGGGCCACATCGTTGCCTCCGGACCATCTTGTTGGTCCAGCTTCGTCCGTCTGATCAGCAGGCAACAGAGCCAGTGTCACTGAAACTCTTTGCTGTATAGATAGAGATTGACCTGCCTGAGTTTGTGTGCGCCTATTCTTGATGTACGAAGTCCTTACCTGTCTCCTTCAGCCGTTTTTCTGGGTGCCCGCCCTGATCTCTGGCTGCTCCTTGTGCGTGCCGGCAGGTCATGGCCGAGGCCCGCCGGATAGCGGAGGCTCGCAAGGCGGCTGCGGCCCTGCTGCGCAAGCCGTCTGGGCCAGAGGCCACCCCCGCAGGCACGCCCAAGGCGCTCCTCAAGGCGGCCACCGCGGTGCAGCCCCCCACAGCCACCGGAGCCGCTCCCAGCACGGGCAAGGCCCCGGTACGAACAAGCCCCGGGAAGGGGGCCACTTGCTGAGGCCGATTAGTGTGCATTTGCATGCCTTGTCCGCTACCTCATCCCTCGCGTTGGCACGCATGATTCACCGGGGGAGACCCCCTTGCCCAGTTGCCGGCATAATGGGACCTCGTTCAAGTTTGACCATGCATTCATTGCCCTCGTTTTGAGAAGCTAGCTGTTGCTGATGCAATTGCGTGCGGGATGTGAACATCGTTCTCTTCTTTTGTTGTGCTGCAGCCGCGAATGTACGTCCGGGGCGTGCGCCTCGCCGCAGCTGCCGCGCAGGCCGCGCAAGGGCCGCAGGGCAGCAGGACCGCCAAGCGCCTCGAGAAGACGCTGGAGGAGCTCGGGGTGAGCACACACGGCCCGCACCATGCGCGGCCGGGCCATGCGAACGACTGGCGAGTTGCAAGGCTTGTCAGGCTCTAGCAGGGAGGATAGGCTTAAACCGAGGGGCCAGCGATGGGTTTCTCCGAGCGGTCAACCTTACATGGTTGCGGGGGTCTCTTCAGTTGTTCGGACTTGACGGATAGCCTTCCCTTTTGAAGCTCGGGCCAGTATACTTCACGTTCGGGTTTGAGCAGTGGAATTCAAATGAAAGCGGGTGGCTGAGCTCATTAGCGATTTGACCTTGATGTACGTGCAATCTGCTGAAATGAAGCCTGATCGGGCTTCGATACTCTGCTGAGAGACAACGCATTCGGAGCCTAAGGGTGTGTCCTTGGTGTCTGACGCGCGGTGGTCCGTGGGTGGTGCGTGTGTCCAGCTGGCGCCTGCCCCGCGGGTGCCGACGCGCGCGGTGTGCCTGGAGTACGAGCGGCTGCGCAAGGCGATTGCGGTGCTGTACATGCTGCAGAAGAAGGTGCAGCAGAAGGAGGCCGAGGCGGCCGCGCTGCGCGACAACCCGGGCACCGACGTGCGCCTCGCAGACGGAAAGGTCAGCCGCACATGCACTCGGATGCTCGCTTTGTGGAAACAGAGTGGGCAAGCAGGTGTTGATTACATGGAGTCCCTTGAATCCCGACTTGAGCCCGGAGGTTACCCGGGGCAATTTGCGAGATTGTCGTTCAGTTATGGCTGCGCAGTCTTGCCGGTCTTGCACGAGGTTCAGAGAGCTTATATGGCTACCTGGCGCACTCCAGTTGTTGTCTGACGTGTCTTCTTCTCGTGTTTGAAGTGGGTACAGCGGTCGGTGTCCACGCGCGGTACTCCGACGGGTGCGGGTGTTAAGCGGAAAGGGCCTCACAAGTCCGGCGAAGAACCATCACCCACGTTGCAACCGCAACATAAACGAGCACGGAAGGTCAAGACGCACGACGACTGAGCTGTGGATGCACTCTCAGGTTGCAATGAAGTCCCCCTCCAGTTGTTCTGACGGATTAAGCGCCCGCAGTGTTGGACTCCAAGGATTTGCGTAGTGGCTGAACCCTCTGTCCTGTCGGAGCGATGCAGAATAGGTCCCTCCGAGCTTCAACTGATGACTCGACACGCTTCTTGGGACCATGATCGGTGTGAAGACATGGCATGGCATGATGGTCACGTATGCTTTGACAAGTAGTACCTCGCGTTCGTGGAAGTCGCGCCCCACGAATCTGTAGATTCATGCTACCATCCAATTAAGTGACTTGCAAGGCTGGAATTGTCGCCAAGCTATCTAGCTGCATCAAGGATCTCTGACATGCAGCAACACATGATGTGCATGCACCCTGGCGGAATTATACATGCCATGCAAGAACTCGGTCGGGCATGTTCATGCCGAGTCAACATGTTAAGGGCCTACTCTTCCTCGTGCACCAGGTGGTTATTTGATTTCACAACATGCATGGCACAACGATAATTCGCACATGTTTGTCCATATATTTGTCAAAGGCGGTTCTTGGCGAGTTCGGCCGTTTTCCCGCATGGTCCGAGTCGTCCGACTATGGGAGCAAGTTTTAAGTTTGTGAATCGAACCTCTATAGCCTCTCGGAGGACAGGTTGGCCCGATCAGCTCTAGAGGAGTCGGGGGATATTGCGCGACGGGCGAGGGAGGGTGGGTCGCAGACGTTGTTGAGAAAGCCAAGAACTCGTTTCTAGTGCCGACCAATTTGGGGCTGCCGAGTTCAACGTCCGGTCTCTCCGAGGTCTCTCCGAGGTTTCTTAGAATTTGCGTACATGCAAGATCTCCGAGTCGGGGAGGAGCATGGGCTCAAAGCTGTACGTACTTCGAGCACGTAAAGCAAGGATATGCGTACGAGCCATATATATTTGGATCAGATTGAGCATGCTCCGTTTCTATATACGTTGGCCAGATTTAGACCTGGGGCTCATAAGTTGTCTAAAGCGACTTATGCATGGCAGGGAAAGCCTCGAGCCAATCAGCGGTATTGTGCATTGTGTGCGACGGGCATGAGGTAGAGGACGAAGCCTTTTCGTATATGATTGTCCAGCATACGATGCTATTAACGGAATTTGTTCCATTTATCCTCTTTGAGAACAGAGTAAAGAGCTTGAAGCTCTTCCTCAATTTGCAGGATCAACATGAAGTGGGGAGGTTTTTGCACCTAGCCTTTGAAGTAAGGACAAGATTAGTGCAGAACGGTGGATGGTTTCAGTCGTTGACTTAGCCGGCCACGGGTCCGAACCGACGTTTAATCATCTAATCTATAATTAAGTACCATGCACGAATCGAGTCATATGCCGATCCTGACGGTAGTGCCTCCGTGCCCACAAATCATGGGATCCAATCAAGAAGATCTATATTGATCGAATCGGTACCGTCACAAGAGGGCGCCCGGTCGGGGCACCGCTAAGCGAAGCCTTGTCAAAGCTTCGTATTATTTAATCTAATTACAAGCTGATTGATTGAGACTCATACGTCCGCTCAGCCACGTGCACTGAAAAACATTGGATTAGAATTCAAGGGCAGAAATTCACGCTTTACAATTAGCTAGCACTTTCTGGTCACTAGCTGCATGCATGATCAAATTTTAGGCCGGTCAACAACGTGTGCATGATTGGCAATGAAGGATAATCCATTCGATCGATGCCATCGAGATTCTCAATGTTTTCAATCAATGCAATGCTGTCAATTACCAGACGGTCCGTTTCAGCCAATTTACTGTACATACCTGATCCTGATTATTATCATCACGATAATCAATGCTTGAATGCTTGCCCAACTCACCTAAGCACAAAGGAAAATGCGTAGCTCTAAACCGGGAGCGCGAGCTCTATGGCTGCCGTTGAGATGTGACAAAGCAGCTACTTTCGATCGTGCCCCTTTCACCCATATGATTGTACACTAGATGATTCAGTGATGCAAGAATGCAGCCCCCCTAGCTAGATATACAGGTGACACACGAAGCTTTGTGGCCGCTGAGTAATTTCTACCCAGTGCCCTGATTGATTGATCCGCAACTTGAGGACGCCTCCTCGTGTGACGGGGTATGCCGAGTCTCTTTTTTGCTGCTGCCGGGCCATCGCAGGCACGCGGGGGCTGTCCACAAGTGCCAGAATCGCTTTTACGAATGTGGATCGACCTTATTGACCAAGCCCCGAGTTGACCCGTTTTAAGGGGTATGGACTTGGGCTCATTGTTTAGGTCCCGCTCCTTCCCCGAGTCTCCTGCCCGTGCCCGCACCCGCTCACGCGCTCGAGCGCAGGCCCCACGAGGCGCCCATGACCTGCGCCATGTGTGCCTCCAGGGACGAGTCCGCCGGCGACGGCGCGATTGCGCGGCTGGGCGACCCCGGGGGGCTGTTCGGCCGCGGTGGCCAAGAGAGGGAGAACCCCAGCTTCGCTCGCCCCGCGGACGGACTCCCAGCTTCGTTCAAGTTCGCCCGCGGAGCCGGCGATGGAAAGCCGCCCAACTGCGGGTCGCTTGCAGGCGGGATGTCGAGATCCAACCGCGGCTTTCGGCGAGGGGTCTGCGCGCCCGGAGACGACGGCCCCGGAAAGCTGGCGGCTGCATCGGTGAGGGGGGCCAGCCGGGGTGAGAGCAGCGTGTCGGGGGCCCCCCCTCCCTGGGCCGTGGCCAGCAGGTGCGCCGGCAGCTTCTGCAGCCACGCCGGCAGCTGCCGCCCCGCCTCGTCGCCGTTGCGCTGGCCGGCCGCGACCGCGAGCCCGTGGTGCGCCGCGCGGAAGGCGGCCTTGGCATCCGCGAGCGCGGCGACGGCGCCCACGAGGGAGCCGCCCAGCGCGCGCACGTCCGCGGGGTGCAGCACCAGCAGCTCCACGCGCACAGACGCGGCCGCGACAGAGTACTCGAGGGGCGCCCCCGAGAGGCACGCCTCGCCAAACACGGCCCCGGGGCCCAGCACCGCCAGGTCTATGCGAGCACCGCCGCCGGGGCGGCCCGCGGCAGTGGGACTGCTGGGCACGCTGCCAGCGAACTGCGGAGATAGAAGACGTTGAGGCCGTCAAGGTGACAGCGGCTATGGGCCTTCGTACTCAAGAGGTTGAAGGGCGGTGCAATGGGGCGCAAACATAAGTTCACGTCACTTCTTACAGTGCGGGTGGAGTAGTTTCACCTGTTGCTGAACAGTACAGAACAAACGCCTTTTACAACGGTCAGCGCACCAAACCTCAAAGCGCAACGGATGTGCGTAGGGTCACGGCCAAACCCCTTTTGGAGGCTGCTTCTTGTGCAATCAGATTCTTGTTCAGTTAATAGCAAGCAATTTGTTACACTGTCTCGACCAGGAGACGTCAACTGCGGGTGCTTGCCTCTTTTGGCGGCGTCACGCGGATGACGCAGTCCCCGCGGTGCACGACGTACAGCCCGTCCGCGGGGCGGCCCTGCTCCAGCAGCGGCGCGCCTTTGGCCGTCACCTCGCGCGGCCGCAGGCGGTACACCAGCCCGCGCAGGGCGGCGGGGGGCAGGCCGCGGAACAGCGGCACGCACGACAAGAAGTCGCAGTGGGCAGCCAGCTGGCGAGCGTGGGCGGGCTGAGGGGAGAGGCGAAGGAACGGGTCAGCGCTCTGGACGAAACTTATAACAAGCTTAAGCTACAATATGACTCGAGATAATACTAATTACATGAACGCAAAATTTTGCCTGCTCCGCAGCCGTGCCCACCCTCAATGCGCTTGGTAACTTCATCCGTCCTTGTCATAGTTGAGCTTAATAAAACTTCATATAGAGACCAATCTGGGACATTCGGCGGGGCACAGAGGTCGGATACCCGTCCCTTTCAGATGATGCAAAAGATCGACGTCTTACAGTGGCGAATTCCTTGAATGTAGAGAAAAGGGTTTTCCCGTGAGAACAACGAAGAACCGGTGCTGAAGGAGGAAAAAAATGGAACGACCATGCGTGCTCAACTTTCTTGTAACTTCTGCCCAACGATTCGAGTGTATGTGAAGGGAAGTCTGCCGCTATACCGGAGACCAGTCAGTGAACATGCCATCAATCCCCTTTGTCCTGCAGTCCAGCTCATGAAGATGAATGCAATTGAAGAAGAATCTTGCTTCTGCCACCTATCATGCAAATAGTACATTTCTCTGGTTGCTACTCCTTGATCCTAACAGCGCGAGACGCCTGCTAGCCCGGAGCCACCAATCTGTCCGCTTCGTATCTAACGGACCAAAGGCGATTGGATTCGGCAAAGTGTTCGTTTGATACGACACTTCGATAACTCCCCACAGCTCAACGTCAGAGTTTGTCATCCGGCGGGACCTTGCCCCGGATTTTGCGCGCGGGCTGACCTGGATGTGGCGGCGGTAGTCGTCCAGCGGGATGACCAGCAGCTCGCTGGCCGCCGTCGCCACCACCGTGGCAGCCCTGCACCGCGACGGGGCAGCCACGCCCAAGGTCAGCCAGAAAGTTGGAGATCCCTTCATGTCCTCTCTCTTCGAAACTTTCTGTGGCTTCAGAAGGCGAGGAAATGCATGGGCTTGATACTCCTGGTTGAGGTGCTCGGTATTGAAAGCGCAGTACTCCAGAAGCTGCATGATGGGCACGAGAGGGCAAGAGCAACCTTCAGTGCATGGTCGACGGAGCCATCTAGCCGGTCAATTCGCCTCAGACTTCCAACTAGACGTTTGCTTCCAATTACGACAGCCGACACTCGCTTTCCCTCGCGCGGACCATACTCCGAGCACGTGGACCACTGCTCACCTGAGCTGCGGCTCTGGTCCCAGCAGTTCTAGCTCGCCGAAAGCGTCCCCCTCCACACACGTGCGCACCAGGCGACCGTACTTCTTTTTCGCTTCTCCTGCTGGGTCCACGTCAGCATCCCCTCCGCTAAGCAGGAAGCCTCTCCACGGCCTCGCCCCCGAGGTGCCTGCGCCCAGCTTGGCGCCATCCGCGTGCTCGGCCGGCCCGCTTCCCCCTTTCTGCTCGCGGGGCCGACTACGGAGCGCCGGTAGCGCCTCCTTCCCCCCCGCGCCCTTGCTGGGGTCCGGCGCGACCTTGGCGCCCCCCCGGAACGAGCTCACCAGCTTGCCGAAGTCCTCGTCGGACAGGCCGCGGGGCCCACCGCCCCGGGGGGATCCCTTGGCGGACGTGGGGCGAGAGGGGCACGTGCCTGTGGTGACACTCTGGGAGCGGCTCCCTTTCACGGTAGGACTCCGCGACAGCGCAGTTGTCGAGCCGCCCCCGCCGCGACCGGAGGCGGGCTCCTCGGGCCAGGGCGGGGGCACGAACGGCGCGGCCACCATCCGGCGGCGCGGCGTGTCGCGAGGCAGCGAAGAGAGGTCGTCGAGAGCCGGCGGCAACAAGGTAGCTCGCGGGGATACGGGGCAGCTGCCAGGGTCCGGCCGCTCCAGGGGGTCCAAAAGCACCCGGTTCAGGCCCCCGCGCGGCGATGTGGGGTCGGCGCAGAAAGAGACGAACACTTCGGTCGGCAACTGGTTCGCGCTGACCGTTACGGCGGAGGCCTGCGTGGCGAAGCGGGACCGGCGGGAGGGGGATGACGCGCGCGGCGACGGCAGGCTGGCGTTATTGCTGGTCACGAAGCGGCCGCCCCCCCGGCGTGGCCCGCGCTCTGTGGGCTCCACGAGCTGCACGGTGAGGGGCACCGAGGGGAGAGGCCCCACGGCCGAACTGGCCTGGCTGGCGGCGTGCATGTCCGGGAGGTCGCTGCCGCTCGAGCCCGTGGTGCGGGTGCCTCGCCGAGTGGAGTCGGAGAACAGCGTCCGCTCGGGAGGTGCGCCTGCGGGGCTTCCGGGCAGCCCGGGAGAGCTGACGTAGCCGGGGCGGGCCAGCGAATTGGCGGGCGGAGCCTCAGAAGTGCGCGCGGAGGTGGGGTGTGCGGGGTCGTGGTCGCGCACGTAGATGGAGCACGCGCCGGAAAGGAGCACGTAGAAGGCGCTCGAGACGGAGCCCTGGTCGAACACTGCAGCAGGGAGCGCCACGTGGCAGGGGTAAGTGGGGCCTTCCGGAGGTCGCGACAGAAGGTGCAAGGACACGAAGAGGATCAATGTCGTGCTTAAGAAGATCAATGTCGCGTTTCGATCAGCTGGACACAGTTTCTCCCATCGGAAACGCACGACGAGGGGCGAAGCAATGAGCGGCAGCTTACACGGACGCGCTGCACCATTTATTTGTCAATTGCCTAACGTGATCCGGCAAGCATACACACTCGCAATGTGTGGCCCTGCAGGGGGGGATGTGCCTCTCACCGCGGTCCCCAGCGTACGTGTGCGCGAGCGTGCAGCCCGCAGCGAGGTGGCGCACGCTCTCGGGGGAGAAGGACGAGAAGAAGGCCAGGCCGTGCATCTGAGAAACGCAACGGGATGCCACCGTTTGGTTATTGTGCACTTAGGTTGGGGTGTCTTAAGAATTGTATTCGTGAGAAATAGTCAGATAATGGAGCAGCGCATGGACTATTGCTCTGTAGATGTGAAATGCTAGTAGTTGAGAGAGCCCCGTCTCGTGACATACCGTGCTTTCTGAGCTGGTCCCATAGAAAAGGAGTGACTGTATAGCGACGGGTGAAAATTCCGGCCGCTTTATTCCGCTGACCTGCGTGGCAAGGCCTTGCACTGCGGCGGAGGTCCTCCTGCGCGGGGCCTGCGCGAGCGTGCGGCGCACCTGCCCTGGCTGGTACTGGAGGTGGCAGCCCAAGCCGCGCAGCACGCGGTCGAAGGCGGCGCGCGGAATGGCCACCAGCTGGCACGCCTCCACGGCCACGTACGTGCTCGAATAACACCTGGGCGCACAAGGGAAGGGGCGGTCAAGCGCCGCAGCTGGTTGAAGACAGAACAAAGTGTTGCGTTCGAATCGGTCAACTCAAGCAGATGAGGCCCCGTGAAGAAGGTCGGGTCCGCACCGCTCCCTGCCTCTGCATGGTTTCAACCTCCAAGCACGGCCAACTGCCTCAAGCTGTGCTATCGAACATGGGGCCTGCCAGCTGTCAAGACTTGAGATCTGAGCTGCTATCGTCCTCAAGTCCCGTCTGGTCTCCAGGTGTGCCGAAAGTCACAACCTGCCCCCCTCACCCGTCTGCGTGCAGCAGCGCCTCCTCGCCAAATGCGTCCCCCGCTTGCAGCACATCGCCCACCGGGGGTCCCGCCTCCCCGGCCTGCATCCTCCATTCCGTTACACTCCCCAAGCTCTCCCGCCGCCTCTGGTGGGGGGCCACGCTGCCGTGCAGCACCACGTACAATGCCCCCCCGGGCTGGCCTTGCACCACGACGGCCTGGGCCGGTGCAGCGGAAGCCGGCTCCAGGGCACGGGCCAGCTGCAGGAGGGTCGGGGGGGGACGGGGCGGAAGAAGAGCAGCGTGGCCGCCAGCGCAAACAGGCACAGCAGGTCGTCCTCACTGCGCAGGGCGGGGCTGGGCACAGCAACGGGAGGATGGTGAGAAAAAGGACGGGGTAGACGAGAAGCGGACATAGGCTGCCGGCTGAGGCAGTGTCGGGAATTGTCAGCGCAAGCTATCTAAGGAGGGCATACCTGAATTGTTCGACTTCAAGAGCAAATCGACGTTGACGCAGTGTAGCAACAAACGTGCAGGCAGTACCAGCTGGGGCCGTCAGCTGGCGGGGCGGGCGTGGGTGTGGCGCTGACCTGACGGCCAGGGCCTGCTGCGCCATGGCCGTCATGGCCACGTAGTCCTCGCGCCGCAGCAGCAGCAGCTCGCTCGGCTCCGCCGCCACCAGCGTGGATGAGCGCAGCCTGAGAAGCGCACGGGGCTCAAGACGTCAGCAAGGGGAACGCACAGGAGGCTGCTGACACAGCCATGACATGGCAGACAAAGCACGCAATGGGTGCCAGCTTCGAGGTATTACCCATGCCTCAATGCTCGAATGGGCTATCTTGAGCGCGGCGGCCAGCTCTGATTGAATTGCTGCGCCTTACCTGGGCTGGGCCTGTGTGAGCGCCTCCTCCCCAAAGCCCCTGCCTGGCCCCAGCTTGTGCAGGTAGCGGCCGGCCCCGGTCTGCGCGGCATACTGGCGCTTGTACTCGGACAGGGACCCAGACAGGATCAGGCAGAAGCCTACGCCGGGGGAACCCTCCTCGTGCACTGACCACAGCCACAGAAGCCAGTCAGATAACACGCACACGCAGCGGGAGACCGGTAATAAGGACGAGTCTAGCATGGCGGAAGATCACGCGCTCTCACTACTGTCAGAACTGGATACAGCCTTGGCTGAGGGCCGCCCTGAAGGGGTCCTTCCACTGCAAACTCTGGATTGTTCTTGCGGCCACGTCGATCTAGACCAGCTGCAACATGGCCAATATGCAGATTACCAGCATAAAGAGTGCCTACACAGACCGTATCCGCCTGGCCCTGTGATCCTCTCTGATCGAATCTGCAAAGACTCAGGATAGAAGCGGGTGTAGTCAAACTGCCATGGCCCAAAGGCTTGCCCCACTGGGCCTGCACGCCCTCACGTGTGTCCTCTTGCTCCAGTTCCCTGAGCAGCGCTGCGCGGCAGAGGTGCGCCTGTGCGGGCCCGCAGGCGGTGGGGTCGGGGTGCAGGCGCTGGTAGAAGGACAGCGGCTGCAGCGCCGCGTGCACCAGGGCCACCTCCTTGGCGCTGCGCAACTCGGGCCTGCACCGTACACAGCAGGCATGGCGGGCAAGCCAGGGGCACAGACAGCACAGCTGGGCAGGGCATCGATACGCACGGCCCATTGCATTGTGTTGCAACCTATGCACGACGCTGATCCGTTTACCAGAAGCTGTTCAAGATCGAAGAGCTATTCATGAGTGGAAAGCTCCCCATGGCTCTGCTGTGATACCAGCAAGGTGACGTGGCTGGCTGGATATCAGTGCACGCCACAAAGTGTGGGTCAGGCTAAAGGAGTACACCCTGTAGTGTAGTTCTCTTTGTTGAGGAGGGGCTATAAGGCAATCCGGGGGCATGCCGGGGCTAGGCACCCCTGCGGGAGCGCTCACCTCTTGCGCAGCACGCTGGCCACCTGCTCTCCGCCCTTCATGGTTGCGGCCCGCGCGTGCTTCCCTCACAATGCACCAACAGAACCACAGGTAACCGCAAGCCTTCGAGCACACCTGGCACCACTCTCATCATGCACTCAAGGTGCTGACTCTACTCGCAGCCGCCTCCAGAAACACGTTCTTTTTGCCAGATAACCGATGCAGAATCCAATGAGCGACCATCAAGGCCGCTAGAGACTGGGCGGCAAGTCCTCCAGAGAAACGTTCAATCTGACTGTCTGATTGGGGGCTGGCACGAGCGGAACGAAGTCTGCCGGACTCCACCATCAGGCTGATAGAGGCCGGGCAGCTGGGTCGGCCAATCGAAGCAGCAAAGCTAGCAAAGATACAAACCTTCTTATTTCTCATGATCGGTTCTACCTTCCCGCTTTCTGGAACGAGCTGATGACCGTACCGCAATGCGAATTCAACAATCACTTTGATGATACGGTTGTCAATTGGTTGGCTAGACTTCGTCAACGCATCGATAAGTCAAGCAGCATCATTATGCCTGCACAGCTGCCGGCACGTTGCGCACATACCTAGGCGATACCTGCCGCTCAACTGATGACTTATCTGAACAAAGCGGCACAGCCCAAGCTTGGCACGCTTTTTCAAGAGGTTCATGCACTAGGACCTACTACATAGAGGTCCCAGGTAAAGGCTGTCAACCTTGGAAGAAAGGCATCGTGTCCTCACTGTCGTCTAGCCAATCAGATTGTCGAGTTCGCCTCACAAGGCCTGTGACACGAGTGCTGCACGTGGCTGGCTTTCTCCGTCCTCGCCGCCTCGCACGCCGGCGCTGAATCAATGTCCAACTGGCACATAATGATGATCGATGAGAGCCAATCGACCCAATGCCAATGGCGCAATGAAGTGCTCTGAGTCTCGGTGAGGTTTGGCGCAAACTTCGATCCCAGGCACCGAGTTCCGGCCTGGCAGGCTATAGATAGGACAAGGAGGCCGTAAAATGACGTCGACTTCATCGACGGTTTCCCGCAGCTTGAATTATTTGGAAGTACACGGTGGTTACAATTATCGACGGCTGTCAAGCAGCTCTGAACCAAACAGATCCAACCGTCGATCGAACATTGCTATCGACGGTCGCATAGCGCAGTGTGTGAGTCCTTTCCTCTCCAGGCTTTCGTGGACCGACTCCCCGTCAGGCTTTGCAAAAATTGCACTCAGCTTCCTTTTCCAGCCTTTCAGCCCTCCACGTTAAACTTATAAAAAACAAGTCTTAAAGATTCAAAATTTTGATGGGAAAATGGTGACAGTGAGTGCGAGGCCGCCAAAATGGCACACTTACTGTTGTGGGTATCCTATTGATCTCTTTGGCGGTGAAACTCCCTTACTTATTGAACACTTTATGAATTAGGTGCTGGCAGCTTCTTCAGATGCTGTCAATTACACGACTGATTAGGTGCATGCATGAGCCACCGTCTGACAGGTTCGAGCTTGTACGCACGTACCAACCGTGTATAATCCTAAGCTTGCCAACCACATGTTTGTAAGTAAGCTAAATCCCTTTGATCACTTGGATCATTAGCGGCAGTGACTCAACCAGATCTTTGATGCAATTGAGCCACCATATGATTTTTCGTCAATGCATGCCAATTGCATTGTGATCTTTTGATTCAAGGCATACCTTGTATTGTACTGGTATGCCTTGTATCTCGATCTTCTGATCAGAATCTCGCATATGGCCGGGCGAAAGATCATCGATCGAATTGCGTCCACTCAAACTGTTGGCTCCACTAGCCTTATATATCAGGGGCTGCAAGTGGCAGCATGACGGCACGTACAACTGCTTAATTGTATCTACTACAGGTACGTTGTATGATTCGATCCTTGACGAACTAGCTAGCGAGGTCAAACTTGCCAAATGATATTGAAATACATCACTGCATGCGCAGGGAAAATTCTATCGTACATGCAAAACTGATTGCATGTTGAGTGTAATTGTCTAATTAAGCCCAAGCCGCCCTAATTGCTACAGCTTCGAGGGCGGCCGCATGCAGTATGTTGCATTAAACGCAGGCATACGTACGGTGCCGATATCTGCATTTATAGATCAACTGCATACGCGTGTGCAGTCCGTTGACTCGGCTTGGCTACGTTGAAATTGACGGCCGCTTTACACTGAAAGATGCGCGTACCAGGATCGATTGTGCAACCAACCATTGCGCTTAAATCCAAGCATTTTTCCTGGTAACTTTCATTCACTTTGCAGGTTCGATGTCGTCAACTCTCTAGCTTTGAGTATTTTATAGTTTTCACCCTTTCTTCACCGAATTCAATCAGTCGTCATATCACGAGGGCAACACGATGTCAATGATTTCTTGTCGAACAAGAGCTGACATCCGTTCAAAGGCGAAAGCTAGGGTATCCAATTTCTAGCTCGAGATTTTGCCAGATGCACGAGACGTTGGCAATGTCGCCGAACTTGAGTGGTATCATTCGCTTTTGCTTAATACGTTCGGGCACCTCGTGCCGTCAGGTTTACTCGAAACAGTTTTAATATCGCCTTGCCACGTGTTCGAAATCGAGATACTGGTTTGCGGCAAAACCGAGTGTGCGGAAACCTAAGCGCTTAGAAATAAACACAGCTAGGGCTCTGCAAGCAGCCATAACGCAACAGCGCAAAGATATTGAGATTCACGTGTCTACGCAAGTACCCGTTCCATCAAGCATGTGACGGATCACAGAAGGAGACTCGCCTCGCATGCCCATCAACGACCGATGAACCTGGTTGCCATTATGGTGACACCTTTCAAACAAAGGTTCATCCGCAAGACCAGCATGTCGGCCCATCGACAACACCGAACAGAAATTCTTCAGCAGTTGGCAGCACAGCATGACGGCACATCGTTCGCAAAGGAAGACCGCTTGAAATCTGGAGGAGCAGTTTTTTGTATGACTGAAACAACGAGTCGGCTCACTTGCTCCGGCAATCCATCTCCCAAGCGCCTGACAGCCGAATTGACCACTGTTCAAGCGAGAGCCGCGTTTTTTTCCAAAATGCACTCCTTGGCCACCGTCTTCTGAGCTGGCCCTGGTATGCGCAAACGACGCTTGGAGCGAGGCGTGCTTGCATCTGGCTCCCAGCTCCTCTATTAAATGCGTGCGGCGGGCCACGCAGGGCCTCCGCAGCCCACTGCCGGCACGTCGCGGCAGTCGGCCGCCTGTGCTAATAACGGCCTGCTCGTGCCCCCGGCTGCCGCGCGTCACCCCCATGACGACGGCCCCCCGCCGCCCAGCCCCACGTCGAGGGCCGCCCCTAGCGGCTGTGCAGCAGGCAAGAGCGGCGCGCGTGCCGGCTTCTTGCCCTGTCCTTTCCCGACGCTCTTCTCCGCGTGCAGCACGACCTTCACCACGCCCGTCTCCTTTGCGGACAGCTTGCCTTCCGCTTTCCGCTTCTTCTGCCGCCTCTCCGTGCCCTCCCCGCCCTGCCTCGCCGGCCCTCCCTTTGCCCCGCCCTTGTCTGCCGCCCCTGCCTTTTCACCGCTCACCGGCGTGGGGTCGCCGTCTGCCAACCGCACTGGCTCTACCTCGTCTCCGCGAGGCCCTCGTTTCCGTTTTCCATTTGGCCGCGCCCCCCCCGCTTCCTTTGCGCTTCGGCCCTCTCGTAGGCCGGTGTCTCGCTCGTGGTTGCTCGCCGTCCCCGCACCCCCGCCACTTGCTTCGCTGCCCTTGCCGCTTTCTTCATAACCTCTTCTTCTTTCGGCTGTACGCTCTTGCGGTGTCCCATCTCCCTGTCCGCCCGCAGGCCGCCCCTTATGTTCCGTCCGCTCGTCTTCTCCCCCGTCCCCCATTCCGCCCGCCCCAGTGTCTGGCTGCGCCTCACCCTGCGGCTGCACGTAATCGCGGTCCACCCTGCGGCCATCGAGCACGCTCACACCGGGGGCCAACTCCAGGACCTGCACCCACGTCCAGACTGTAAGCGTATAGCAAGGATTAGTGAAGAGTAGGGTGCGTTCATCGCAGTGAAGACAATCCTCGAATGGCGGTCCTGCACAAGGTAACTGCTACATAAGATTGTGCGCCACCTCGAGCACTCGACAGGGCATGTCCGCCAGCGGGGCGTTCCTCCAGTCACTCTGCACCATGCACGCCGGCCGCGACCAGGGCCGGAGCAGTGCATGTTTAGAGGCGGTGGCGGCGGGGCGGGCTGACCTTGGTGCGGTAGTCTGGGTGCGCGGTGAGCGGGTTGCCCATCAGGTTGAGCTGGCGCAGCCGGGGCAGCTCCGCCAGCAGCGCCACTCCGCGCCACTTGCTGACCGCGTTGTGGCCCGCGTCCACGATGCGCAGGGAGCTCAGCGCAGCCAGGTCGGAGGGGAGCGCCTGCGAGCAGCAAGCGAAGAGGGTCGCTCAGCCTTGCGTGTCTGCCAGGTAGCGCCAACAAAGGCATCAGACTAAGATGAATAACACAAGGACGAAGGCGAGGTCAGAGCGCATGTTTCCAGTTGTCGGCGATGCAACAGTGGACAGGCCGCGAGCTAAGGGATCCCAGGATGCGGAAGAACAAACAATGAAAGGAAAGCATCCTAGAGAAAGAATGAGCAGTTTTTGGGGCCGGAATGAACCAATTTCAAGGCCCTCTAAGTAACGAACTGACAGAGGGCGTCAGCAGAAACTTCACGGGTTTCGTATGCCATCGGATCGTGGTCAAGCCAGCACAGGCAAGCGGAGCAGGCCCGTGCCTAGGCACCGGCGACCACAGGCCGGGAAACGAGGGGAGCTGCTTAGCAGGAGCTGCGGGGGGCCAGCCAAGCAGCTGAAAGCATCTCAAGACGTCAGGGGAGAGGCAACCGCCGACGTCAGAGTTGCTGACCTTGGCGGAGTTGTGTGCGAAGCGGAGTTCCTGCAGGGCGGGGCAGCCGCGGAGTGCGCCCTTGAGAGAGGTGACGTCATTGTGGGAGAGGGACAGCTTGAGCAGGGACGAGCATGCGGCAAGCGCGGTGCCCAACGACGGCAGCAGGTTGGACGACACCACTGCAGCCAGACAGCGCCACCCAATGTCAGCAGCAGGGGGGAAAACGGCGCCCAATGCCACTAGCCATCCTCATCGCCAATCAAAATAGAGATGAGCGGCACTGGCCAACCCCGTCTACCGTACCTTCCCCCATTCGAAGCCCCTCCTTGCCGCCCTGAGAGCCCCTCTTGCGAGCTTCCCCGGCGGGAGCCCGAAAACAGTTGCGACTAGACTATAATCAGCTTTGGGGCGTGGTGTGGGGCTCACCTAACGTATTGAGGCGGCTGAGGTGGGCCAGCGACGGCAGGCTGCTGAGCTCATTGTCTGCGCCAAAAAGGAAAGGTGTGTCACCACGATGAGCGGATAAAGACAAATCTTGTGGGCCAGTGCCAGAAGGTCACCTCCTGTCTGGAACGCCTGTTCCGATGTGGGTTCAACCAAAGAGGGGAAGTCCTAAACCCACTGCTGGAGCAAGGTCTTCAACCTTAGCACCCCACTATGTTTTGGGAAGGACACCGTCCTCAATCAGTTCCCACCTCACAGGTCCTCTCAATGCTGGCCTCTCATCATACAGCAGCAGCCTGCTTATCACCGGCCTCTCTGTCAGGCCTACTGGGGCTCACCGCTGGCGATGAGGGCGTTCAAGGAGTGGAGGCTGGTGACAGCGTCGAGGCTGGAGAGGGTGTTGTGGCTCACGTTCAGCACCTGCACGCCCACGCTGGCAAGATCAGCGACCATTGAAATAGCAGCCAGCTGGACATCCATCACAGCTGTCAGACTGGGAGGAAACATTATGAGGCAAGGGATATGAAGGAGCAGGGCTTACATTCAAGGAGGTCAGGCTCTGCAGACCATCAAGGCTGGTCAGTGAGTTGTGGGTCAGGTTGAGCCAGCGTAGGGCTGCACAGCTGCTTAACGCCTGCACACAAGTGGGCCTGATCAGCAGCGGCCTAAAACTCCACAGTATGGTGTGCAGCAGGCCTGCAATCAAGGCATCAAGTCGCAAATGCACAGCGACCAATGAAGTTGTGCTTCCCAAGTGGTGGCACCACATTACAATGTTGGGCCAATTCAGCTACATTATAATGTTCCCAGATGCTGCGCTTCATTCTTGCGATGCCCGCGGTGCCCTTGTGCGGTGGCACCTGCACGCTGGCGATGCTGTTGTGCGCCAGGTCGAGGCGCTGCAGCAGGTGGCACTGCCCCAGCACGCCCACGTCTGACAGGCCACGGTTCGGCAGCGCCAGCTTCAGCGCACCACCCCATGGCTGGCCGTCAACATCTGCTGCCTCCACCGCTGCTCGGTCCAGCACCACCATGCTGACTGTGGCGCCCAGCCAGACAAGCAGCTCCGCACGTACGGGGGCAAGTGAACGTTCAATTCAAATCAATGCAGTGTACCTGTGCAGCACAGCAACACGCCTCTGCGGAGTCTAGCTGGGAAGAATGGGCAATCATCTGAGCCAGGAACTCAAGGATCTAGATCTAGAGCTGCGGGGACGGACGCTTGCACGGTAAAGGTAGACCTCTTACTGAAGCGTTAAAGGTTCAACCAAGTACCGTAGTGGCACGACCCATTCGCACCAAGCTCTTACGAAAATTGTTTTTTTCGCTTTTCTGATTTCGCACCAAGGTTCGGGGGGATATTTTCTTTTCGCACAAGGGCAAATTTACAGTATTTTAGCCCATTTCTACGCGAATTCAGGCTTCATTTGGGTTCATTTCCTTTCCGCTCTTTCGCACCAAGGTGATAATAATTTCCGGAATATTTCGCACCAAGGCCTTACGAATTATTCTTGGTGCGCATGGGTCGTGCCACTACGGTACAAGTTCAAGTAGTGACGTGGCTCATTGAGAAGCCGGATTGGTGACGACCCCACCAGGCGCAAGCAATGGCAGCAAGCATGATGCGCATGACGTGCATACCGTACGACTTCAGTTTGTAGTTCAATAGCCTATTCAGACCAAAATCGGGGTCTCGGTGTCCAGAACGGGGTTTTGGTGACGTTTGTCAAATCCGAAAACTGCAGGGTTTCAATAACCCCGCACCCCTATCCAGACCGCATCGGGTCCCGGGTTCCGGATGTGGGATGTTGTACGTCAGCTTTCCTCACTCATATGTACTGATTTGCGTACACCGCGTGTACAAATTGTGAAAAGACCGCTCGATCGGCAACTTGCCGCCTTCATCGTTCCCCCCGTGCGTCAGCGAAACCCCTTTTCGCAATCGACATTCTGCCAAAGGGCCAGGTGCAGATTTTTGCAAATTTTGGACATCCGGGATGTGCCCGACGTCAGCAGAGACTCGGTCGGTCTGAATAGCTCAAACCGGATGTCGGATGTCAATTTCGAGACCCGGGTGCGCGATTTGCCTGAGAAACCCCACATCCCGATTTTGGTCTGAATAGGCCCTTGTGCTCTAGGACTCGAGTATCCTGATTCCCAAGGGTGATTGAGGCGCCTTGGTGAGTTTTCGAGGGAGCGTTTTGCACTTCCAAAAACTCTTTCACGTGCGTTAGGTAGGGCGCGCAGGCGTTTGCATCAGTCTCCTTTACAGCTATCATTTTTTGAGCAAGGCCATTCGTTTATTCGTCTGCCTATTCGTGTGGCGTGCCGCTGTCATGTCAGGTGTCCAGGCTGCGTGCCGCCCTGCCTGCATGACGCCCGCAAGCGGGGCTGGCCGCCTCCTGGCACGAGTGGGCCAGAGATGGGCTAGCAGCGCGACACCTGTTGCCGCCTTGAGAGGCGTCACACGAGGCAGCGCAGCAGCATCTGCGCGGCAGGGTGCTCCGCGGCAGGGCCTGCCAGGGTACTCGGGCTTGCGCCCAAGTGGCGCCCGCCCGCTGTTGCACCCCAGCCTCGGCTTTGCCGCTGCATGCCAGCTGTCAGGCAATGCTGGCCCGCAGCGGCGCCTCAGCGGCGCGGCAGGCGCCGCACGGGCTGTGGTGGCGGCCCCGGAGCGGCCGTCGCTGCGAAAGGCGTCCTCGGAGGCAGTGCAGAAGTACGGCTTTACAGAAGTGGAAGGGGAGTACATTGCTGAGTACAATGCGCATGCGGTGCTGTACCAACACAACAAGACGGGAGCGGAGTTGATGTCGGTGGCAAGCGATGACGAGAACAAGGTGTTTGGCATCGTGCTGCGCACACCCCCGCAGAACAGCACAGGCATCCCGCACATCTTGGAGCACAGCGTGCTGTGCGGCAGCCGCAAGTACCCGCTCAAGGAGCCGTTCGTGGAGCTCATGAAGGGCAGCCTCAACACCTTCCTCAATGCGTTCACCTACCCCGACCGCACCTGCTACCCCGTCGCCTCCACCAACCTCCAGGTCAGCCTCCGCTCCCTACGAAGTTGCCAGAAGAAGTCGGCCATCAAGCAACACTTTTGGCGCCCATTGTTCAACCTTGCCACTTTTTGTGCCACCGCCTAGATCTGGCCCGCATGAAGCCGTTATTTCGTGTTGCCAGACACGACAGTCAACTGAGTATACTGGCTGAGCAGTGTGAGCGGTCCTGTGTGCGCGCAGGACTTTTACAACCTGGTGGACGTGTACCTGGACGCGGTGCTGTTCCCCAACTGCGTGCGCGACGAGCAGACCTTCCAGCAGGAGGGCTGGCACTATGAGCTGGACAAGCCCGACGATGACATCACCTTCAAGGGTACACCGCACACACCCAGAATGCGTTCTTCAATGTCTGCCATGGCACTTTGATTCATTCCATCTCTTGAACATTGTCATCATTCAGTTTGCTGTTCCTTGAGTTGTTGATTGGGCACCTGCAAAGGAAGGCGATTCATCGCTTCGAGCTCTGGCGAGGATCTCGAGACAGATTCCTGGCAAACTTTGTTTCTTGCTTCTTGGAAGTTTGCCTCTCAAGACTTGGTTCCAGTCCCTGCATCATGTTGTACCCACCAATTGGAGTCTGCGGCTGACTCTTTGCGCGTGTCGCCGTGTGGCCAGGTGTGGTGTTCAACGAGATGAAGGGCGTGTACAGCCAGCCAGACAGCATGCTCGCGCGCTACACGCAGCAGAACCTTTTCCCGGACAACACGTACGGCGTGGACAGTGGCGGCGACCCGTCCGTCATCCCGGACCTCACCTTCGCCGAGTTCCAGGACTTCCACCGCAAGTTCTATCACCCTAGCAACGCGCGCATCTGGTTCTATGGCGACGATCCGCTTGATAAGCGCCTCGAGATCCTGGACAGTGAGTATTCCCCAGGCCGAACACAAGCTGTGTGTTTCTTGCTGAGACCCCACAACGACAGGCTGTAGGCAGACTTCTTGAGACCAGCTTTGAGAAGTACGCCAACATTCCGTGCGCCTGTTTGTCTATTGATCTTTCTTGCCGAATTTCGCCGCGGATTGACTGGCTGTCTGTATTGCGGCTGCCAGAGTATTTGAGCGAGTTTGAGCGCAACGAGGCAGTGCACGAGTCGGAGGTGGCCATCCAGCCGCTCTTCTCCGAGCCCAAGAAGGCAGTGCACAAGTACGCGGCCGGGGGAGACGCGTCGCAGGCCAAGAACATGGTCGCCGTCAACTGGCTCCTTGCAGGTCAGGCATCGCATCCAGGCCTGCTCCAGCATGTGTGGACTTGTGGCCGCTTTCAGCTGCTCCATAGTGGCATAACACTCTGCTTAACTGGTGCACTGCCGTTGTGCCGTTGGCTTTCGGCTGCTGTCCCAGAAGTCGGCACCTCAGAGGTTGTTTGTGGGAAGAGTCTTTACGGCTGCCGGCTGGAGCCAGGTGCCTTGGAAATGGTGCGAGAGTGATCCTGCCCGGTGCGTGTCATCGTGGCTGCCGTCGCTGAGGGTGGCGCGCCTGTTTTGGTGCAGAGGACGTGCTGGACGTGGAGACGGAGCTGGCGCTGGGCTTTTTGGACCATTTGATGCTGGGCACGCCCGCCGCGCCGCTGCGCAAGGCGCTCATGGAGAGCGGCCTGGGCGAGGCCATCATTGGGGGGGGCATCGACGACGACCTGCGCCAGCCCGCCTTCAGCATCGGCCTCAAGGTAACGCACGCGCCAGCTGGCATCACGCTCAGCAACGCTGCCTCCTGTGGGCAGCTCATCCAATGCCGTAGGCTAATTCATGCGTGATCTAATCAAGTGAATGAAGCTGTTGAAAGGGCGGCTTGTGGGTCGCCGTGTGACGCCCGACTTGCGGTGCGCTTGCAGGGCGTGGCTGCGGAGAACGCGGGCGCGGTGGAGGGCCTGGTGCTGTCCACGCTGGAGAGCCTGGCCGAGAGCGGGTTCAGCGCGGAGGCGGTGGAGGCGAGCATCAACACGATCGAGTTCAGCCTGCGCGAGAACAACACGGGCAGCTTCCCGCGCGGCCTCGCGCTCATGCTGCGCAGCGTCGGCAAGTGGCTCTACGACCGCAGCCCCTTCGAGCCGCTGCGCTTTGCGGCCCCGCTGGAGCACTTCAAGGCGCGCTTGCAGCAGCAGGGCAGCAAGGCGCTCTTCGGCCCGCTCATCCGGCGCTACCTCCTCGACAACCCGCACCGCGTCACCCTCGAGCTCCAGGTCAGGCATCACGGAGAGACGGCCGCAGGCGGGGCAGGCCCTGCGCCTCGCCTTCATGCAACTTAAGCACTTTTGTTCGACGACCCCCGCTTCGGCGGTCTGTGTATGATCCGATGCATGTCCGATCGACCTGGAGATCTGCTAATCTGTCGACTGCTTATGGCCGCATGCGCAAGGGCTGATCCCGTACCTTCCGCCCTTGCAGCCGGACCCTGCCCTCGGGGAGGCCACTGAGGCGGCGGAGCGTGAACGGCTGGCGGCGGCCAAGGCGGCGCTGCGCGAGGACGACGTGACCGCTCTTATCGAGGCCACGCAAGCTCTGCGCGAGCGGCAGGAGACGCCCGACCTGCCGGCCGCGCTGGCCACCATCCCCGCGCTGGACCTGGCCGATATCCCGCGCACCGCCGCCACCATCCCCAGCGCGGTGGAGGCGCGCGGCGGCGCCACGGTGCTGCGGCACGAGCTGTTCACGAACGAGGTGCTGTACGCGGAGGCGGTGCTGGACCTGCGGCGCGTGCCGGCGGGGCTGCTGCCGCTGGTGCCGCTCTTCAGCCAGGCGCTGCTGGAGGGGGGCACGGCCGACATGGACTTCGTACAGCTGAACCAGCTGATCGGGCGCAAGACGGGCGGCATCAGCGCGTACCCGTTCACCAGCAGCCGGCGCGGCAGCGGCGAGCCGGTGAGCGCGTTCGTGGTGAAGGGCAAGGGCATGGCGGGGCAGGCGGGCGACCTGCTGGGGCTCATGCGCACGCTGCTGCACGACGTGGTCTTCGACGATCGCGCGCGCTTCAAGCAGTTCGTGAGCCAGGCCAAGGCGCGCATGGAGGCGCGCGTGGTGGGCGGCGGCCACAGCCTGGCGGCGACGCGCATCGACGCCAAGGACAGCGCCGCGGGCTGGGTCGCGGAGGTGATGGGCGGCGCGTCGTACCTGCGCTTCCTGCGGGACCTGGAGGCGCGCGTGGACAGCGAGTGGGACGCGGTGCGCGGCCAGCTGGAGGACATCCGGCGGAGCCTGCTGTCGCAGGAGGGGGCCATCCTGAACTTGACCGCCGACGACAAGACGCTGCACGCGGCAGACGGGCCCGTCGCCGACTTCCTCGCCGCGCTGCCGCAGCAGGGGGGGCCGCGCCATGAGTGGACGGAGCGGCTGAGCGCGGGGAACGAGGCGCTGGTGGTGCCCACACAGGTGAGCGCGCACCCACAAAGAGCAGGGCGGACAGCAGGCGGACAGGGCCGCCGCTCAAGACGACACATCTTGTAGCAAGATCTGTCGTCTTGCAGCAATGAAGATACCAGCGTTTGCCACGTCGTTCAAGCTGGCAAACCCCAGATTCTGAGCATGCGAAGACCACTGAAGCCAGGAAGAAAACTTCTGAATCCGCGCAAAATTCCGTGCGTAAAAAGGGAGTCACTAACAGCATCCGGCCATTGCACGGCGGCAATAACGGGTTTCCAAGGTCGGCTTCGTACTCTCTCCTTATTGAAATCTTAGTGTGACCCTTGTTTGAACCCTTTTTAGCGCTCTGACGTGATCTGCATCGGGCCTCCGTTCAGAGTAACGTGCTAGGCACCCAGTTCGACCGATGCTTGCGGGATCTCCTCGTGGATGCCGGCATAGAGACAGCCGGGTGGCGCCAGTCGCAGTAGTCGCAGTGAGCACTGGCAGTGACGCCGCGAGGGTGCGGTGCCGCGCAGGTGAACTATGTGGGCAAGGGCGCCAACCTGTACGCGGCCGGCTACCAGCTGAGCGGGAGCGCCTACGTCATCTCCAAGCACATCGGCAACACGTGGCTCTGGGACCGCGTCCGCGTGAGCGGCGGCGCCTATGGGGGCTTCTGCGACTTTGACTCGCACAGCGGTGAGCATCGCCCTGGTCCGCTTCCTGGCCGTGGTCTTCTCCCCACTCTGCGCAAGCCCGCTGCCTCGCCCGTCGCTTCGCCGCCTTTCCCACCGGCTGTGGCAGGCTGCTGTTTCGATCGGTCTCCTGCGGGCAGGCGAGCGGGCAGCATGCTGAGCGGCTCTGAGTGGCGTGGCGTGCAGGCATGTTCACGTATTTGTCGTACCGCGACCCCAACCTGGTGAAGACGCTGGACACATACGACGGCACGCCCGCGTTCCTGCGCAGCCTGCGCCTGGAGGGCGACGCGCTGAGCAAGGCCATCATTGGGACCATCGGCGACATCGACGCGTACCAGCTGCCGGACGCCAAGGGCTACACCGCGCTCATGCGCCACCTGCTGCGCGTCTCCGACGAGGAGCGCCAGCAGCGCCGCGAAGAGGTGCTCGCCACCAGGTAAGACCCGCAGCTGCCACGCGCGCGCCGCCTTAATCACGCCCGGGAGCTCGCAGGTAGAGCTCACCCGGTGGTGCGAGGTCTCGAGCACCCTCGAGCGTCGGTGTTTCTACTGGTGCGCTAAGTCAAGAAGAAGGGCCTCCCACCGCTCCTTTGGAGAGAAGAGCGCAGCTGGTGAATGCATTGGGCTTGAACTCGTTGCGATCGCCCTGCTGACTCCTTCGGTTCAATACTCAGATGATGTCGCAAGCATCACCAAATTTTGACGGTGGTCCTTACGTTGGGTGCAGCGAGAAGGACTTTGCGAACTTTGCGGACGTTCTGGAGGCGGTGCGCGGAGAGGGCGCGCACATCGTGACGGTGGCCTCAGCTGCTGACGTGGAGGCAGCGGCCAAAGCCCGGCCCGAGTTGCAGCTGGCAGTGGACCAGCTCTTGTGACCCTGACGATGATCTTTACCTCCTGTTGGTTGACTGGTTAGCGTGTCCACAAGGTCGAGTTGTTGGGGCACAGTTCGTAATTTAGATGTGCCGTACGACTGTTGCAGCTTGCGAGTATATTCGCTTGGCATGCCAGATCTTGCAGAGTCCAAGATCAGCTGATACATTCCCGGCTGCAACCCTGAACTTTCGCTCTGTGCACATGGTCCGACATTTCGGGCAGCCCCCAAGTACCCGGCATACTTGGGTGAATCACCGGCAGGTGAATGTTGTCATGGTCTTACTGCATTGAAGTTCCAACTCGTATCAAGGACAACGACGACGGTGCATAGATAGTGCCTTTATTGTTGGCAAGCTCAGTCATGCCGGCCATCACATGTCACGCATTATCGAGCTCAACATCGCTGCGTCAGGTCTGGCGCGTATGCATGATGATGCACTGACATTGAAAATATGTCGTAATGTTGTGCATGGATTACTCAACCCATTGCTTTCGTTATATACACGTTTCTCGAATCGTATACTAGATGTATATGCATGCATATCTGCGCGCTCGAATTATCAATGAAGCTTGCGCGCAGACATCCAATCAGCTCAACATTTATGTCACGATCGAGAAAGGTGCATGCTGCACAGTAATCATCACCCATTACTCCCCATGATGTACGGGATATCTTTTTCTGCCAATAATCATCACCCTTCATGCAACATGGAGCCGAGCACGAAACACCTTGGCCAACATAATCTTGGCCACATAATGTCTCCTGGTCCGGAGCCTTGTCCAATTTAATTGCCATCATTATTGTGTCACAGCTGATTCAAAGAAGTGTATCATGTGCAGCAATAGAGTTTCTCACTGCGGTGGGTGGTCAGTCATACCATGAAGCAGACATTGGGATGGGTCACAAGTCCTCGACCAACAATCTTATGCAAGACACTTGGAAGTACACAAATGAATGACAGTAAATGGATGAAGCCATTCATTCATGACCTTACACCTTGTGTCACCAACTGCTGTTTCAAGTCGCCATCCTCCCTATGCTGCTTCCATGTGCTTCAGCTTGGCAACAATTCGGACCGTGACTGACAACTTACAAGCATCCCGCTTTGGAGGTTAGTGCCAGCATCTGAAGACCGCGGCTTGCGTGTGGTGCCAACTTGAGCGGCATCAAGAGCAGGGGGTGTTTGAACGCTTTCCTCTTAAAGGTTGCCTAGCCTTGAGTAGGTATAGTTAAGACCGGAAGCAGTGAAGTTAAGTTAGATGTGAGCATTCCCCATGCATGGATGCCACTTGTGCATCAAGGGCAAACGTGCATAAAGAATGCATTCCCTCGTTTCTCAGCTGGTGACGTTAATAGACGACCAACATACAGCCCCCGTTCGTTAAAAAGTTAGCCGGTGCCTGGCGCCCCCCCCCCCCCGTGTCAGCTACCCTGTCCCGGGGGAAGGCCTTGGCCCCCGGGTGTGGACGGCCCCGTCCCGGGCCCTTGCCCTCCGCTCGGGTGCGGCAGGCTGGGCAGCACCAAGCCCTGCGACAGCACACGAATGACCCCGTCAGCTGGCCGGGCTGGCAGGATGGCGACTGCGCTAGCACGACGACCCCACACTCAGGCTCCTCATCTGAAATAGACTCGGAGGCAGCAATTGCAGACAATAAGAGGCAGCTACTCCTCGTCCACCATTCCTGCGCCTCGCGCTGTGGCTCACCCCGTATCTCCGTTGCTGCTGCTGCTGTTGCTGCTGCTCCTGCTGGTCCTGCTGCTGTTGCCGCTCTAACAACAGCATCTCCAGCGACGACGGGCCCTGGACACCAACAGCACGCGCCGTCAGCCCGGGAGTCGCCACACCAGCGACGATGCAAGCGAGCGGCGGCAAGTCGGGCCATGATCGCGTGTGCCCAGCCCCGACAACTGGTGCTCTTTGGCAAACGCTCTCTGAGGCCTCACGAGCAGCACTGACGATAGGGACTCGAGAATGCAGAAGAACTTTCCATTCTGCCAAAACACTTTGTGTGCCCAATTGAAAGAGGGAAGCAAAAGGAGAGGCGAGGTGGATACACCGTCCCTTGAGGACACGTCAGTGTCTTTGACATACACAATTGGTCCAATGGGAACATGTCAAGTGCCATGAGTTCGTCAGAACGAGTAGCGCAAAACGATTCCATCAAGCCATCAAGGCCTGAGCGAGTTTGGGCCGTCATTGGATGTGAGCTGGGTAGAGTTGCAGCTCCCCGTGTCGTTGCGCGCCCCCTTGATGCCTCACCTGGCCCCACTGCTGTTCTAAGCCCCCCAGGCCGCCCCCCAACCCCACTCCCCCTGGCGTGCCGGGGGGATCGTTCTGCGGCCTGGCGAGGCCCCCTATCCGCATCGGCAGCTTCTGTGGGCCGGGCATGCCCAGGTCCATCAGCTGGCTCGGGCTCAGCACTGCACACCACAGCGCGCCAGCGGGCAGGCCCAGTCAGCCAGCAAGCAGGCGCCAAAACACAGCCCAGCGCAGGGGGAGCGCAGGCAGGCCCGCCAGGCAGAGGCTGCAAGTGCACAGCAGTGAAGGGGGACAGCCGGGGCAAGCGCGGCCATGCCAAACTGCAACCGCCCCTTCTGCCTCCGCACAGCGCGGTGGTGCGACCACTACGGCTGCAGCACCAGTACTTTCAAGTTGAAATCTGCTCCTGCGCCCCACGAGTGGTCAGGGGACGGGGGCCCCGGGGGGGCTGGCGCCTCACCTCCTTGCTGGCCCGAGGGGGAGGGCTGCCCCATGGCCCCCAGCGACGAGGAGCTGGGCCCAAAGCCGGCGGTGAGGGAGGGGAAGTAGGGCAGGGCCCTGCACACCGCCAGGCACGCACGTAAGGCTCAAGCAAGCGGGGGGGGCGGGCAGCGGCAGGCCTGGCCCTCGGGGAGAGAGTCAGCCGCGCAGCTACTACGTGCAGAGCGGCAAGCAGCAGAGCATGAGACCAGGGAAGCTTGACGCCATCCTTCGCAACAGTCACAAGCGTCAGAAGCAGCCGTGCTCACGGGAGGTTGGAGAGAGAGGGGCCGGGGGGGGTGGCGAGGCTGGAGCGGCCCAACAGCTCCGAAAAGTGCGAAGCATAGGGGTTTGATTGCTGCGCACTAGCCACCGCCTGGGCTTCTGACTGTTCCAGCTGCAGACACAAGACACCCTTTTCGAAAACGTAATGCAAGACCGTGGCTTGAACAACCACACAAAGCAGCATATCAGGATCGTCAAGGTGTGCAGTCTGATTGTGGCAGCCAGAGAGTGGTCTCTTGTCACACCTTTGAATGACTGAGCTGGCTCGACAAAGCAGTACCATTGCAAATAGGATGTTGGACAGCATCCAGCCTTCCTAGCGCATACACGACTCTGACAAGCTCGCGTGGACAAAGTCTGGACAATGTTACAGAAAATGGCTGTGGGCGCCCCAGAATGCAGGAGAAACCCACTCACCTGCTGTCTAAGTTTCATCACTTCCTGTGTCAGCAACTCTTTCTGCACAGAGACGCAGTCCGCTCAATCATAGGTCAAACCTCAGAAACACATGGCGGCAGCTGGTCAACAGCTGCAGTACAGTGATGCAGGGATGCGCAGGGATACTGGCGGAGCGAAAATGCAGAGGTGAGACACTGGGGTGAAGCCAGCATACCTGTCTCGCTCGCACCTTCTGCAGCCCGTCGTCGAGCTTCTTTTCTAGCTGATCTAAGTCGGGCACTTGCAAGGGCCCAAGATCCTCCCCCTGATAGTGCCTGGATAACAGAAAATCCACAGGATTCAAAAACCCTAAGATTCTTTTGACATCTTAAGCATTCCTTAGAGGTCCTTCCTGCAAAAGCGAATAGAACACATACCACGATACTTCCTGCTCACTTGAACCCTTTCAAAGATAAGGACAAGCTTGATGCCGGCATTTTGCACTATTGCTCAACATGTCCAGAAGGAGTAACAGCTGGGTAGACTTGTGGATGCCAATGCAATTGCCTGGTAGAAGTTGGCACCTACCTCAACTCTCTCTTGTACGTTTCTGCTTCATGACGGAATCTCTTAGCTTGCTGAGCAACATACTGAAACCACAATGAGAAGGACGTGAGAAGCCGTCCACTTCCATTTGGCGAGCATGGCAAATCAGCAACAGACAAGACCCGCATACAGCAAATTGTCAGGTGACGTGCAGGCATGGGCAACCCAGCAGCCTAGAATGCTTTCAAACATGCAACACAAAGACTGCCACTCTTCGACAGCTTTCACTAAGGTAGAAAGATGTCTCCTTACATCATTGTTGTCAAACTTCCTCTGCAGACAAACAAGCACTTTTTAATATGGTCAACCTCGAAATCAAGGAGGTCACAGGTCCTGTGGCTAGCAGCAAAAGCTGTCTGCAGGATTCTACGCCCTACCTTTGCAAATGTATGCGAGTGCCATGACTGACAAGTGCATCATGTGAACAGTATGAAGGGAGTGCTGATCTTCGTTGGTGACGGGCAGGCACACGGACCGAAAATGGGAATTTCAAGCAGCAGGTGTCTACAGACTTGGGATACCCACCTTTTCCCGCTGCTCTTGAGGAGCGTTGTGGTACCGGTCGAGGATCTCTTTCATACTGCAAGAAAGGGCTAACTTTGGACGGGAAGCGGCTAGCTTTACCAAGACAAGAAATACTGCGTGTTATCGGGTATTATACATATGCAGAGTACAGCATTTGGCGGGAGATCAGGGAGCAGCTTACACAAGCCAACGCGAAATAAGAATGATGGAATATGACAGGCTCGCTGTAGCACATCATCAAAGACCGGGAGATCAACATTGCACCAGCTGTTGCTCGCTGTTGCTCACCTTGAGTTTGCATACTCAAAAAGCTTTCCCGTTGGCGAAAACATGATGACGGCCACATCAGCATCACAAAGAACACTGAGCTCGTAAGCTTTCTTGAGAAGACCATTTCGCCGTTTGGAAAAAGTGACCTGCCGATTTGTGGCATTGTCGATCCTCTTTATTTCAATCTTGGCGCGCCCCATGTTGCCAGTATAAAACAAGCTGCAGGCGCCTCGACTTCCCTTTCTGTATACGCTCGTTTACATGCTCCTCTTCAGCTCCTTCTGTTTGCAGTACATGCCACTGCAAAGGCGACCCCTGACGCACTCCACTGTAGCCCTTGCAATGTTGTTTACCCTCAACAATGCAGCCCACGGTCTCGCCCAAGTTGCCAAGAAGCAATTTACTTCCCGACGCAGTCGAAATGTGCACGACCCACTACTTGAATGTGACGATCAACAACTCCATGCCAGGTACAAGAAGTACGGCATCCCAGGAGAACAGGCTGTCGCAGGCAACAAGTTCAAGCGCAGCTACCATGCAGAGCGACCATGCAGCAATCAGCGGTCCTTCCAAGCTCCCTCCAAGGTAAAAAGACTTGGACAGAAGCAGGACCGAAGGCAAGCTCCTGGAGAAGCCCGCAGCTGCTTGGTGTTGAGGATGTTTTGGGGTGCTTGCATGCGACAACCCCGTTGTCACCGTAACGCCTTTCCTTTCTTTGTGGTTGACAGGGTATTAAGATGTGCAAGGAAGGCCCCCTCCACCAAAACCCTGGACGGGGAGCAGCTTATTGAGAGGTACCCAAAGCGCCCCATTCTAAATTTAGAACGTGCCCGATTATTGCGGAACAAAAGATCGACGGTTTGCATCAGGCCCACTCTTGCTTCCCGCGATGATCGATCGTCATAATTCAAAGTTGTTGAGGTGTGCGTCAAGATGAGTTTCAAACTATTAATAGCGGTTGAATGACGTCGCCTGGTCAGAGATGTCAGCCGTCGAATTGCAAATCGACGGACGAATTGCAGGACCTCGGGTACCGCCCTGTAGTAGACCCGGTGCGCGGTGCCTAATATACCCTAATGACCTCAGGTAGGCCGCCTCAGTCATCCCCTGGGACCTAACCCTAATACTAAAATAGCCCATGCTATCGATCTCGCAATCATGCCCATTGCATTGCCTACTACCGTATGGTACATTGGTAGTCTGATGTCATTCCCAGGGGCCCAGCCGCCACAAGTGGCCAGTATCGTTCTCGGGTTATGTCAGTCAGGATATCCCTATGAATATATCGTACCTATTGTCCAATCATCAATGTCAAGGCGTGCAGAAAGTATATAAGATTCAAGTAATTCGATGCAGGTGCGAAAATGGGAAAAGAAGTGGTAGCCCTGGCAGAAAACGCTGCTTGAGCTACTGGACATATAGGTAGACTCTTAGGGGCCTCCTTCCTCGCGACAATAGCCTGGCTCAAGACTTTCCTACCGCGCCACAGGAACCTTTGGCTGGCAGCTTTGGTGGCCCATTCCTTTGGCTCCTCCGCATGCGCCCTATACGCGTAGTAGCATGCTTGCAATTGCACAAAGTACGTACGAAGAACACATTATATCCTTGCAATGAATCAAGTCCTAAAGGGTCAAGTTAGCTAACTTGGCTTCACATCCTTATCGGGGTAAACAAACATATAGGCGACAAATCGTTGCCACTTTTCAAAGTACTTATATGACTTCTCACCAATTACAACCATTTAAATGCAGAATTAAAACCAAGGGGCGAACAAGACAAATGAAAGACCGCATTCCAACTCAAACGTTCAAGCAAAAGTGCTTCCAACCACCATCCAATACTACTCACAGATATATGTGCAATGAGCAAAACGAATGTATGGTCATCCATTGACGGAGTACTTGTGGACAAGTGGAGCCTAGGTATCCTTTGATCAATGATGCTAGTAACCTAGTGGTCTCTTGTAGCTGCCAACTTGTCGCATGATTAGCCCAGACAATGTGCCCACTGTTGCTATGCAATCATCTATCACGCTCTCTATCCCGAGACCTACCATGATCATCAAACTTGACATCCGTGTCGCGCTCTCGCTCCCTTTCTCGCTCGCGCTCTCGGCCCCCCCTCTCACGTTCACGCTCTCGAGGTCGTTCACGGTCCCGAAACCGCTCTCCGCTTCGCTCCACGGACCGTTCTCCTCCACGATCTCGATCGCGATCCCTTTCCCGCACCCGGTCTTTGTCCCTGCAACAACATAACCAGTGCAAGCTGGTATCAGAATGTCCTCGCAAGAGAAACTTGTTCAAAAGGGTAAAGCAGATTAGAAGTTCTCACAGTCAAAAAAGTAGAAGTTAACATCTAGGTCAGCTCTCTGCACAGGATATGGGTATGTAGACAAAAGTGGTTGTAGATCATAAGGACAACACTAGAAGATGTGAAGTGTGTGGCAGCAGTGACTATGTCCTAAAACGAGAAGGGCTTTGCCACCCTGCCCGGAAAAGCTGAGAAGAATTTGCAATAATCGTCTTGAATACAGGTGATGATCATTCCAACAGCGGAATCAAAGTGAAAAGACGTTCCTGGCCTGCGTTTTTCCAAGTTTGAAGGGCAATGCTTGTCAATCTTCTTTAGGGGGCCCCGACCACCCGAAACTAAGTTCTGATCAATTAATAAATGAAAGGCCTGCCAGGTTGCGAGGAACGAGCATGATTTCGAAGCACCACGCAGGAAGCCTGTCAACCCTCACTGATCCCCAGCTAGCTGTTACCTGTCTGTTCGCTCTGGCCGCTCCCGCTCCCGCTCGCGCTCCCTGTCCCGATCACGGTCACGGTCCCTGACACGCGGAGCCTCCTCCTCCATGGCAGAAGCCCCTCCACCCGCAGGGTCCCGCCCGCTGTGACGCTGCACGCACAAACAGGGCCCAAGCAAGCCCTCAGCGTACCGCAGATATTCAGTGCGCGTCCTTGCCCTTACTCCCCTCTGGCAGCAGTCGCTGGGGCGGGGAGTCCATCAGGAGGGCCACCTCAAGCAAGGCGCTGCCCAGCAAGTGTGTGCTTGCGCGTGGCTCCTCACCTGGTTCACCTGGTCGGCCCCAATCCTGGTGGAACCGAGGCCACCCCCCAGGCGGCGCGGGCGCCAGCCCGGCACAGTGCGGCCGCGCTCCACGTCCACCACTATGCGGCGGCCGTCTACCTTGCGACCGTCCGCCTGCTTGTACGCAGCTGCACACACAAGGCATGCCACTGCTCAACCCAAGAGGGAGGGTGGCTGCTGAGATCCAGGCACCGCCATGGCAGCAATTGAAACGACAAGACTTCCTGCTAAGAGCAAGGGGAGCGCAACCGAGGAGACCAAGAAACACATTGGAGAACTCACCCTTCATATCCCGAGTGTGCTGGAACTCAACAAAAGCATATCCACGTGGCTTCCCCGTTCCTTCCTCATTGACGAGCCGAATCTGCAGCAAGCGCCTGAGTGTCAATCCACAGAGAAACAGTAGCAAGCGAGGCTGAAGGCCACAGACAATGAGCAGGCGCAAACGGAGCGCCAGGGGCAGGACGTGCGCCGGAGGAGACACGCGGAAGTCATGTTGGCAACCACGAGGGTGAGGGGACCGCGGAGCAATGGGCACGGCAAGCGCCGTGCTCACCTGGACAAATCAGCGCAGCCGTCCAGAGGCACCCACAACTGGCCGCGCAAAGCGCCAAGAGATCACGAGAGCCCAGCCCTGTAGCGCCGTACTCGAGCCTATACTCTGCCCCTTACCACTTACCCAGGGCAAAACCAGTTTACCAAAGACGGTGACCCCAGAGACGGTGCACAGAGCAACAGTGGCAGCAGCGAAATCACACAACCAGCAATCCAACTACAGCAAAAACCCGTCACTGGCCCGGCCTTAGTCTAGTTGAAGGGGAAATCCTGACGAACCATGACGACAGCAGGTCAGCAAAGCAACGCCCTTTCCAAAAGGATTGACGATTGCAATCAAGTGCCTGAAGGCTTTGCCGTACTACATCGAGCATGTACTTACTGATTCTTACCTTCTTTATAGGGCCATATGCCTCAAATTCACGCCTGATTCGATGCTCGGTAGTCTCATAACTCTGCATGAAGAACACCACACAGGACGGGTAATCACCGAGCTCATAATCATTCCACAAGCTACAAAAGGACAAGACGAAGAAGTTTTTGAAGGAAGGACATCAAAATAACATCAAACTCTTGCCCAGTGCCAATCATGTTAAAACAAAGTAACATTGAATGACGGGAACGACGGGCTCACAATTCTGGACACAAAAAGTGTCTTGTAGGGGTCCCCGTCAACCTTTGGATCTTTTGCTGGATCATCTGCACGCACAATAGTTCCGGTCAGCAGCAGCCCCATCACCGTCAAACATCTTCCCGCAGCACAGCGCTCAGGCAGTGGCAGGGCATGCTGCCGCAGTGGCCAACAGACAGAGGAGCTCCCATACAAACCACCGGGTAGGAGCACAGAAAACCTACACAGTGTCAGCGCCTCCTCCAACTTCGCAGCCCCAACCTCCAACTTGGCTGCGCGAATTCGCTCCTTTTTTTGAATCTGGAGGCGGAGATACTTGGTCAACCAAGCAGCACATCAAGCAAGCTGAGGAGCACCGCGCGGGCTACATGGGATGAACAACAAACTGCACTCGACAGAGCATGTATCGTCGCGCAGCGAATTCGCAACAAGCACCATGGAGACAGCATATGATGGCACAAAAGGCATTGAATGCGCAGGGGCGCACTTAATAGAATTTAGAAGATGCTCTTACCTTTGTTTCTCCTTTTGTTACAGGCGGCTCGTACTCTGGATCCCCTGGCTCAGCAAATTGACCCACAAACTGGGCAACTCCTGCAATTCCAATTGAAAAGCGTCCGCTGAACACAACAACTCTCCGGCCCTGCACCTCTGATCCGCAAATGCAAGAAGCAACCAGCTTTTAAGAGACGCAGAACAGAACATGTGCCTGGAAAAGTGGTAATGGTGTAATCAAAGCATCACTTATCTTCGGTCTGCAAACACGGGACTATTCCTGACCTGAAAGTGGGGGCAGCTTCCTCTTTTCCACCGGCGGCTTATAATCGACGGGAGAGCGCGGCTCGAAAAGGCGCAGCAGGGATGGAGTGAGGCCCGTAGGATGACTCTGCCCGATCTATGAGAAGAATGGGTGACATCATTAGAGTTGAGCAGGGTCAGAGCTGTAGATGCTGCAGAGGTCTCCAACTGCGCAAACATCATGAGCAGAAGGGGAAGACCGCCCTGCATCCACTAACAATCTCGCATCAATGACCAGAAGGACTACATACCAGTTTCAGCTGTTGGACATTTGCCCGGCTGCTAGGGCGTCCACCCATGTCCCTGCGCATGTAGTCCCCCATGCTGCCCCAACAAAAGCATACAAAACAGATCCTTCTGCTGACATCAGCGTTTATGCTGATGGAAATTCCTTGCCCTCTTTCAAGCACAGAGCGGTTGATTATACTAGTCCTAACTGAACTACCGGAAGAGCCAAACTCCAAAATGGAGCTCAAGGCGGCTCTGCTGCAGCTCTTGACTCTGCCGCAGCTCGATTGGAGAGTGCTTCTTGAAGTTCTCTTCGAAGTTCGCTGACTCCGAGACTGTCCGAGGCCTGGCGAGGGCGGACAAGCTGAGAATACCTAGTTCCTTGTCCCCCCTCTGTCCCGGTCCGAGGATCCATCTCGTGCGCGAATCATTAATTTGTGAGTCTCTACCCGCGGCCAGAAACGCGGCCCCTACAAACTAGGTTGGGCCGCCAATGCAGTGCAGCTTGTGTAAGGGGTCAACCAGCCAGGGCCCAGGCCCACGTTCGGCCGTCGGATGCGATTCTAATTGCAACGGCCAGTTCAATGCGGCATTGAATTCAATGGAGCCGTTGAAGTCGGTTACCGCTTGCCCGCGGAGGCCTCGTTGGGACCGTCGGTGCAGTGTGCTGGGTTGCGACAGCCCGCCTCAGCGGTCCAGGTGCTTTCACCAAGGCCCTCTCTTATGTGCCGCACAATTCGAAAGGCCTGACGACTCACGAGCTGGGTGTGATTCGGATCAGAGAGACAGTCTCCCTTCTGCATCAACAACCACACACACCGTCTATGGAGGCAGGCCGCATGAGACTTGAGCCTTGAGGGCTGTGGACTCTCTTGAGTCTTGACGCTTCCGTCAACAAAGTTGTCTTTCGTGCACAAATTCAGGGTCGTCAACATCAGGCTAGGTTGAGCTAGTTGTCTGATCAGATTAGTCTTGAGCAGTTTGCCGCTGATTGTGGACCATAGCAGTGGACAATAGCCCACCAGAAGTACGTAGTCGGCGCAGGGTTTGCAATACAAAAGAACAAACTAGCCAGGAGACAGGGAAACTCTCCGGTTTCCAAGCCTTCTTGTAGCCGAACCTGCCAAAGCGATACCGTTGGACGCAGAACAAGCCTGCTGTTCAAATCAACATAGTCAACAATCTCGAGGGGAGCATATTCTGCAAGCATACTGAAGCTTGGGAACTTAAGCAACATGCGAAGGACAGGCCGCTGCAATGATTTGACAGACTCAGATATCCATGCTTTTACGACGTCAACGCTGCATCTAATTCCAACCCTGAGTGCACCTGCATCTGAGAGTGATCAAAGAAGCAGACTGACAGAGCCCCATTCTGGGGTCTCTGTTCGTAGCGCTAGGGAGTAGATTGCTTTCCCTGGTTTTGCAATGGCATTTGGAAGGGTAAGTCTCCACTTGTTGAAAGCACACCAGATACCCAGAAGCATGCTCATACGTGGTTGGTGTGTTTGTCTCCTGCACTTGGTGTTGCCGTTATGTCCTTTGTAGTATGTCAGCTGACGCAGCAGGAGATGTTTTGCAGCAAGCAGCAGCTTATGGCGATGAAAACAAGAGAGTTGAAGGCAAGGGTGCAGTGGGCAAGGGTGGGTGTTCTCCATTCAATGCATTTTGCTGGTTGCTGCTTGGACAATCCATTGCATCTCACTGGCTACATGCCTCCAGGCTTGGCTGCGTGAATGCTTGTGTGTCATCTGACATTCACCCATTCAGAGGGTCTCCTTTAACATTGTCTTTGATCTTTACAGGGGCAACTCGGGTGCCTTTGGGTGCGGCGGTAGGCAACAATGGAAGGCGGGCTCTTGGAGACATTGGCAACCTTGTGGGGGCCATGCCCAGGTGAGACCGTGTAGCTGCCACTCTTGTGCCCGGGGAGCGGGTACTGAGGGTTTTGGGGACTGCGCCAGCAGGTTGCATTTTGGCATTCGCTTGCATGTATCTGGCTCAGCACACCTCCGAGAGGAAAACCCCATGCATGCGGATGGTATATCTGGCAAGCTGGCTGGAGCGGAGAACATGTGTGATGCAGTCAGGTAGCATGCTTGCACATGCTCGCGCTAGACATTATTTGTCAGGGATTTCTCCAAGAAAAAAGAGAGGATGTCAGAGCAAGGTATGCAACCTCATTATTTCAACCTTGGCTTGCAGCAATGCTGGAGGAGGAAGTCAGAAGCAGGGAGCCTTGGCGGAAAGAGCTGCCTACAAGTGAGCGCTCTCTTCTCATCCTCAATCTCTGGAGTTGTTGGTCTGAAAAGTGCACTTGTACATCTACCATTAACCCTACCAACTTGTCTGTTGCTGGTGTGCCGCCGCACCTAACCCTGTGCCTTCTGGGTGTGCAGACGTGGGCTGGGAGCTGTCAACGACAAGCCAACCACCAGGCTAGCAGCCAAATCTGTAAGTTGGGCCTTCCCTACACCATGCCCTTAATACAGCACACAGTGGCAGGCCAAACTCTAGCGCTGCAAGTGGAAGCTGCATCTTTTCGTGGAAGCTTTGTTTGCTGTTCCTCCTTCTCCAGCCTCAGCACCCAAGGAGTCCCTCATGCTCCCTGTCTGTGTGCAGGCCGCCGCCGCTGCCTCCGATGCCCCTGCCGCTGCTGCAGCTGCTCCCCCCCTCCCAAGCAACTGGGGCGCCCACCGCCGTCGCGACCTCATCACCAAGCCCCGCAATGACCTGGCTCCAGAGGGCGGTGCGCCCAGCGGGACAGGCCGCAGCAGCGGGGTGTCGGAGCGTGACCCGCTGGCCAGCATCAATAGCAACTCGCTGCATCCAGGGGCCGCTGCTGCGCGCATGGCCAAGCAGGTGGAGGCGCGTGTGCTGCGCAAGAAGAAGCTGGGCACTCATGAGCAGAGCACCACGAGCAAGCTGCTGGCGCAGAGTGCGGCCGTCAGCGGCAACGCGGATGCCGAGATGGAGGATGTGAGCAGCAGGCCTGACCAAAGCAAGCTGTTCCAGATTGACACACAGAGTTGGCAAATCCTCGAACCTGAGCCTGCGTCGCAAGCTGCCTGCTAGAGTCCCTGCCTGACGAGCCCGGTGTCTCCTCAGGCTGCCCTGACAGGCGCGCTGTGTGTGCAGGCGGACGAGGCCCTCCCAGACATTGACTCCGCAGACCAGAGGGACCCGCTGTGTGTCACGCAGTACGTCGAGGACATCTACGCCTTTTACAAACGGACAGAGGTACGCCTCTCTGCCCTCAGCACCTTGGGCGCAGCACACTGTTCCGCCCTGCGCGCCCTCCTGCCTTTGCCTGTCCCTTTGTGCTGTCACCTTTGCCCCTGCTGACCGTAGCTGACGCGTGCGGGTGCGTGTGCAGGGGCAGAGCTGCGTGAGCCCGCAGTACATGGGGCGGCAGGCGGACATCAACGACAAGATGCGCGCGATCCTGGTGGACTGGCTCGTGGAGGTGCACCTCAAGTTCAAGCTCACCCCCGAGACGCTCTTCCTGACCACCAACCTCATCGACCGCTTCCTGGCGCTGCACCCCGTCACGCGCAAGCACCTCCAGCTCGTGGGCGTCACCGCCATGCTCATCGCGTCCAAGTACGAGGAGATCTGGGCGCCCGAGGTCAAGGACTTCGTCTACATCTCCGACAATGCGTACGACAAGGACCAGATCCTCGCCATGGTCAGTAGCGCGCCCCGCTCAGTGACCGCCACCTGTTCTGCCTTGTCCGAGCTGGCTCATGCTGGGTCGCTGTCTGCGTTGCGCCTGCTCCAATCTCCAAGCTGTCGCTCCGCACCCACCTGCTCTCGCGGCCTCGCTCATTGGGTCCTTTTGTGTCCTGCAGGAGAAGCTGATGCTCAACACGCTCAAGTTCAACCTGACAGTGCCCACCCCGTACGTGTTCATGTGCCGCTACCTCAAGGCTGCCGCAGCAGACAAGCAGGTGAGGCCCAGCCGCCAGCGCGGCCGGCACCCACGACGCTGGCCGCTACGAGGAGGGGCAGCCCACTCTCTTGTGTGCCTGTGTGTCTAGCTTGTGCAAGGGATGGCCGGACTTGTATGTCTGCGCTCAGCGTAGCATGTCCCCAATGGTCAGGTACAACCTGGACCCCGTTATGTTGCCCAAGATCCTGTCTGCAATCCTACTGAGGATGTGATCAGTGGAAATGTATCGACCTTGTCCAACTCGTTGGGCTCGATGAGTAAAAGAGCCTGCTGTATCATTTGACATCCCTTTGGCAACCCCAAGGCTTGCTTCTCTATTAAACAGACGTGGAGTGGATCCGAAGCCAAGTCTCTTGTATTGAACGTTTTGCGTGATTCAGCCCGTCCTGAAACGGACTTCCAAACCGTCAGCTCAGGCTGGAGCATCCCCGCGGGGAGGCTGTGTGTGACCGCTGCTGCTCCTGTGCTGCAGCTGGAGACGACGGCCTTCTTCCTGGTGGAGCTGTGCCTGGTCGAGTACGCCTTCTTGCGCTTCACGCCCTCCCTGCTGGCCGCCGCGGCTGTGCACACGGCCCTCAAGACGCTCAACCGCACGCCATGGTCGCCAGCGCTCCACAAACACTCAGGGTACTCGGAAACGGCACTCAGGTGAGCGGCAGCACGGCAATGTCATCTCTGCTTGGGCTGCATGCGGGGCCTCTCTCCATGAGATGCACACATGGATCGAGAAGAGTGCAAAGGACACGGAACAGTATTCACCGTTCGGGTTAGGGGAAATGGTCACAGCTTTTGCATGCCGGCGAACGCGCGCTGTGAGGATGCTCTCCAAGTTCACGACCTTTGCCGATGTGTGAATCTGTCCTCGAAGCCCTTGTTCTACGGTGTCCTCCATTTCGAGTTTGACAACTCATGAACATCGTTGTTCAGGTCTTGTTCGTTCCTAATGTCGTCAATACACCGGAAGTCTGCAACGGCCAGCTTGACTGCGGTGGTGAAAAAGTATAGCAGCAGCAAGCTGTACTGTGTTGCTCTTCTGCCACCTTGTCCGGAGTCCCCTATTGACGACACGTGTTCTAGCTCCGATTAGAAGAGCTGCATTCGACACGCTCCCAAGAATTGGGATTGCCACCACCAGCCGGTGGTTAGAAATGAGATAAGGTATCCTAAGAGTGTACACAACTTGTGACCAATCAGAGGATAACGGTTTTCAGCTTCTTTGCCCGTCAGACTTGAGACCACCTTGTTTTGAGTTGGCCTTAAACCTAGACCATATGCAGGGTCGAAAAGTGAGGATTGTTTCGGACTAGGTATACTAAGGTGCAAATCCTTGACCTTGCATCAAAATGGGGTCCGTGTCTGAACATTCATTCACGGCCCGAAGTCAAATGCTTGATGGCATGCAACCTCAAGTGCACTCGCATCCAATCGAAATGCAAATCTAAGTAGCACGATCTCTTTGCGTGTTGGTGCCACGGCTTGACCTATGCATTGTTGCATCGCTTGATGTATCGGTTCTATAACTTATGCATCCACACGCGTTGAATATAGGAAGGTTGGAGAATCTTGCGAAAATATTCTTGTACGATGTAGATTGATCAGCCCCTTTTGCGGCACATGATTGACAAGTAAATCGCAACAGCATCATCTCATGACTGACTGAGTCTCGCACTGTGGTGAAAGCAAGCTAGTCAAGCATAAAATTGGGTTATAATTTAAATCGTTCGCGCGGGCATAGCTCTGGCACCAATTGGCGGTACCCGGTGACCGATTGAACATGCTTATACTATCCACGTAGCTGAACACGATGCATGCACTGCCATATTACGCGACGGGGTTGATATCTAGGTTCATGCGTACATTCAGCCTTCAACCCTTGCCGGTGGCACACGATGGTGCATATGTCGAACTCGTCCTTCCGAGGGCTTACAGTGTCAAAATATGATAGTGTCGCCCATGTCAAAAACACATGTCACGGGCTTTCGGAAAATGGAACGCGTTCCATTTTTGTGGCGGCCGCATATATTCAGCCGGCCAACCCACGTGGCACGCGTGCCACGTGGGTTGGCCGGCTGAATATATGCGGCCGCCACACAAGAACAGTGGTTGGCAGGAACTCTGTGGTGCCATCCCGGCTAAGCCCGCACTTCAAAATACTTCTTCGGAAGAAAAAATGTTTGATCAAGAGGATGAAGCCGGAAACTGCGGCATGACGATGCTCATTCAATATCACTACGGCACGCCGTGTGTTTCCGACAATGCCGTGATTCCGACTCCCCGTATGCATAAGCCGATTGAAGCCCCCTTGCTTGGCGTGATACTTTCCTCCCGAAGGTTACGGACTCGAGCTTCGTCAAGGCACACATGGCAAGCCTCTGATGATGCAAGGATGCCAAGACTGAGTCTTCTTAACTTACACCGATCAAGTTTGTCTATTTACATGCGGGATTGACAAAGTTAGTCACCAACCGCTTTCAAGCAGGCTTTAGTACATCGTAATTATTGTGAATTACGCTGATTATCGTATCAGCCTGTGACATTTTAAAGCCTACTTGATCAGTGTCACCTTTTTCACAGTGTCACGATGATCCGAATTGGGGTCTCCGCTCAATTGATTGGTACACATGATCGAGTCGGCCCCGGCGCGGCCGCAGCGGCTAGTACGTGTCACTAGAGTCCGAAGTTCACCGGCAGACTTGCTAGATCATCACCCATATTATATATGCATCCGAATGCCAAACTTGACTTGGGCCAATGTTTAGCACCATAACGGTATGGCATGGGGCCAATGGCTAGAGTGTGGCCAGAAAGCATGGCGGGTGGGCCATGCGGGACGATCGCCAATCAAACGAAGCGCTATGTACTGCGCCCAATTCCGAGAACGCACGGTTGCTGAGTCACTAGATTCATGGCAGAAAACATCTAAGTTCATGCATGCATACTAAGTTTAACTTGCCATACAATGACCGCTGAGTGTTCTACTCAAGACTTGGCCCGGGGCCTTGTGACGGCAAAGATCTAGGGTCGGACTGAAGTTTAAGTTACGGTCGGACACGTCGACATATTCTAGGCGGCCACGGTGCTGAGTACACGGCGTCACCTTGCTTCACTGCGGATAAACTTAAATCTTTCGTCACACAAGAAGCCGATTTGTGCGGCACCCGGCTGCCACTTCAGCGGCTCTGAGGCTTTTGTTCGATATCTCACTGATGGACGATACGCCCAGGCACGTCATAGAGGTGGCTAGATTGTGCTCAGGACTCAACTTCGGGCGGCCCTTTGAACTTATGCTCGGACCTCCAACTTATCATTGGCGGTCTGGTATCTTTGAAACTTCGCGACGAAGTGCAGTTTCTATCCGCAATAACATTTGGGCTACTGGCATGGCCGCGTTAGTGCATCCCAAGTAGGCAAAATCGGAAGTTGAGGACCATCATTAAAAGAAACAGCATGTTGAATGCATGACGCAGTGGCCTAAAAAGAATCTGACAGCCTGAGTGGAAGTTAAGCTTGCCACCAAGGGCCCAAAGCCATTGTTGTGGCATGCAAGGACTTTGAGAGGTTTAAGAGCCAAAGTTAGATCCTGCCGGCCGGTGGCAGTTGTGAAAATGGCCCAACTTGATGATGGCAAGAGTAGCGGTGCATGCCTTGCTGGGTTTACTAATAAGAATAACCGGTCAATCTTGCGAAGGAGTTGAAGATAGAAGGTCCGAGCTACTTGGCATAGCATGCAATCCACCCAAAGCAAACGCAAGAAAAGCAAATTCTAAGACTCTGAGGCCCAAAGGCTCATTCTTAGCACAAAGCCTGGAATGTTCACTCAAAACTCTTGATTGTGGTTCAAGCAACAGTGTTGGGTACAACGTCATGAAAGGTGACAGGGAAGCTATTCGAATATAGAGAAGGGCCGGGAAGACTCGGCTCTGGTCATCATAAAGTGTTGGATTTATTGATTGGATGCCGTCTTCGACTTATTCATTCAATTCATATATTATATAATTAATATATCTTATTCAATTCGGATAAGTTGTACAGTAGTTTGTAACCATTTTGATGCATTGGGTTTGCGGTTTGGATTACTAAATGAAGCGAGTGGCGTAATCACTAGAAATCGAAAGTGCCGGGCCGCCGGCCGACATTGACTATATCGGATTCTTATCTTAAATGTTCTAAATCCAATTGCGTCGAGTTGATCGTCTACCGTTGGATCAATCGGATTATTCAACCGTACTTCAAAAGACTCGTACATCTAGGTGACATTGCTCAAAGCCCGTTCTTTGCATCACGGGACCGCTACGGTGCAAATCGCGGGCGGGCGATTTACCAGGCTGCGGCGCAGAAATTTGGCAAAGTATTTGTATCAATTGAAATCTACGGGCTTGTCGCACGAGTCTCGAGGCCGGCGAAATTTGAGGCTTTGCAGTAGATTGTGTTGAAACACAGCGTTGTTGGAAGTGATATTCAATCAATCAAGTTCACACAATGTATATGGAGTGTTCCGAGTCACGGCCTATCTTTAGGTCTACACTCTAGCCTAGTAGGCTCAGCTGAGACCGT